ATGACTTGCTCTCGCTTTCAGCCGCATCTTTGGATTCGGCAGCAGCCTTTGAGTCGCTCTTGGCCGCCGGGGTGCTTTCCTTGGGTAGGGGCTTCTTAGCCGCTTCAACATTGAAGCCCGGCGGCGGGCCGGAGGACTGGCCGTGGCTGTGGTGGTCGGTACCCAGATGGCGGACAGGCACAAGGAGGGCGAGGGCGTTTACTCGTCGAGGAAGATGTCTTACGTTTCGGCCGAGCACAGCTGACGAAACACCGAGGCTAGACAGCGCACGCGCTGGAAGATGTCAGAGAAGAACTGCAGGCGTGTCCAGTCCAGCGCAGAAAAGGACGATCCATGGAGATGGGTGAGCGGGCAGGAAGCATACGCAGGGGATGGACTTACCGTTGCCCAGGAGAGGGTTGGCAATCGCCGCCCGACGAGCGACACTTGCGGAGGCGCTCATTCTGCAGCGGTTGACTGGCAAACAAGAGAGTTTGGTGAAGTTGTTGTGGATAAAGAGCGGACTACTGAAGAGCAGCGATCATGGGCGACTATCTGGAGGTGGGCAGTATACTACAACTAAAGACAATGATGGAGAAGTGGAAGATGTACAATGATGCGAAACGAACCCAAGAATTCTGGAATGGAGGGCAATCGATCGCATCAAATGGAATGCTACCACGACTTGTCCCTGGCTTCCGAAACCACCCATGGCCGGGGGGGCCCAGAGACCACCAGAAACTGCACGTGCGAGATCACGGGGTTTTGCCTCCTTTGCTTCTCTCGGGGTTCGCTTGCAGACAATGAAAGGCGGGCTGGCCGCTGGCACTGCGTGGGAATGGAGATGCTGAGCAAGCACCACTCCACTGCACGTAGGTACCTTAGCACCTTTGGTAGGCATGTAGGTACCACCACCACCTACCTAAGACGGGATCCAGGTTCACTTTGTCTGCCGGTACGTACCTGGGCGCGCTGGGCCGAGCCCGTGCCACTTGTCAATTATGGGCTGGCACAGCTGGTTTGTGTGCTGCTCGTCTGGCTTGCGACCACTGTTTGTGTTGTTTTCCACCCGCTCATTCGCTCGTCTGCCACTATCGCCACATGGGTAAGCCAAAGACGACGGCCGTCTCCTGTAGATCGGTGGGTCATCCTGGCCTTAGCTACCAGAAGCTTGACTTTCTGGGCTTTCAGGCTGTGCAAATCGCTCCCTTAGCCCGTGTCGGTGTTAGTAGACAGCAACCGGCAACTAGTTACCGGGCAGTGCGTTGATGAGGAACTCTGCCTGGGCTGAACCTAGGCAATTCGCCTATTGTTGGAACTTGAACTTCTTACGACTTACGTGGGCTTCTCAGATGATGCCGTTTGGCAATGTGGAGGAGACAGATCGGCGGTATCGGGCAGTGCCGTCCCCGGTGGCCAACTTCTAGCAACCTGGCACGAGTTCCAGCTGTTGTTATATGTGCAGCGGCCAGTTTCGACGTCTGAAGCGTCCATAAAATAACTTCTAGAACCGGAGCAAGAGGGCCATTGCAGTAGACGTAGGAACCTGGTGATGTTGTCCTGTCATATCGCCTCATCAAGTCTCATCTATCGCTATAACTGGTGGCTTTCTCTTATCATTAAGGTAGAGTTTGGGTCACGAAATACTGAGCAAACAGTTGAGCAGATCGGTGATGAGTGACTGGCAATCCAAGTGCGGCATCGGAATGTTACCTATGTGCTGGCTGTGGCAGTACTACCTATTGCTAATAGCAAACCGTAACACGCCCTCAACAATATCTGTTAAACTCCCTGAATTTTCTCCCGACTCCGCTCGACATTTTTTTGGTGGGAAATCACAAGCTCGTCATTCGAGGCGCCCCTGTGCCCCTCAGTGCTGACTGTTCAGTGCCAGCTGGCACCAGGCCACGACCTCTCCAAGGTACGTACACGCTATCTTATCTCAACATCAGCACCAGTGCCAGCGCCAGCGACTGTGGAAGAGAGTGACGAGACTCGGAGACACTGTGCCCTGGCTGCCTTAGCGTACCCCGGACTTTAGAGCTTGAGACCGGCCGACCAGACGAGTCGAGGCAAACTTGGAAGCACCAGCCCAAGGCTCAGGGTCCAGCACCAACTTGCCAACTTGACGGGGGGTGAACTTGCGAATCCCGACCCACCCCGAGAAGCCAGCAATTCAGTCGAGCCAGTGATGGCGCACCAGTGGAGGAAGATTGGCACCAGCAAGCACGCTGCTAATCTCTACAGACAGAACCAGTAGAGGGTCTTTGGAGGAGAGAGAGAGAGAAAGAGAGAGATCCGGCCGTCGGCCACATACTGCCAAAGTCGACACACGTTCCTCCCTCGGGTCCCCTCAACACCCATCCGTCAAATCGACCGATTTCCAAGCATCCCCGTCCGAGGTGCGCGCCAGCACCCCCGTCGCTGCACTCGCCTGCATCCCACCACCGCGGTTCTGCGTCCGCTCGCTGTTCTCCACCCTCCTTCTCGGCATTCCTTCACCACCACCACCTCGACCTTTGCGCTTCCTCTCTCTTTTCTTCCTCCTTCTTCTTCCTCCCCTTCCCTAGATTGTCCCTTTATACCAACGTCCGTCGTCCTGCAAAGATCATGGCTTTCTCCTGAATCCACTCCGAACACGATCCCGTCTGGGTCTCGCGATTCCGACTCGTTCCTTTTCCCCCGCACAATTTGGGGCCAGTGCCATCTCATTCCCGCCAATTTCGAAGCTACCGATACATAGTACCTGCGGATATATCTCGAACCAACCCCTCCGTCACTCCCAATTCAACCACATAGCTGCACCAATCGTTCATTGATTCGTGTATACTATGAGACTCCGCAAAGCTGCCCGCGTTATTCTCGTCGGAGCCCCCGGTGTTGGAAAAGGAACGCAGTCCGAACGACTACTCCAACGGTTTCCCCAGATTCAGTCCATTAGCACCGGAGACCTGCTTCGCAACAATGTCAAGCTCCGGACCCCCCTCGGTAAGTGTCACATGCTACCGCTACCAACCAGCGCTTGCTCTACACATCCTGTTGCACCTGCTGACCTCTCCCTTTTTCCAGGTATCAAGGTCGAGAACACCATGAAGTCCGGCGGACTCGTCGCTGATGATCTGATTATGCGCCTCATCTCCAACGAGATGTACAAGAACGGCTGGCTTCTCAACAGCCGCAGAAGGCCGCAGGTCATGACCTTGTCATCTTCCGCCGCCACAGTCGACTCGTTCTACGAAGAGCAGCTAGATGACTTTGTCACGGCTACCGGAGCTCTCGACAGCCATGGACCCCCCGAGGCATCCGAAGACCCCGACGCCTCTTTCATCCTGGATGGTTTCCCACGGACTGCCACCCAAGCCGCGGTTTGCGACAAGTTGATTCCGATCAACCTGGTGGTGTCGCTCAAGACCCCGTTCAACGTCATCATGGAGCGCATCTCCGGCCGCTGGGTCCATGAGCCTTCGGGACGCGTGTACAACACATCCTTCAACGCTCCCATGATTCCCGGCAAAGACGACGTCACCGGAGAGCCCCTCACACAGCGCCCGGATGACACCGAGGCGGTGTACAAGGAGCGTTTCCGCAAGTTCCAGGAGACCAGCGAGCCTCTTCTCGAACACTACGACAAGAAGGGCGTTCTCTGGGAGGTCGAGGGCATGAGCAGCGACGAAATCAGTCCCCTGCTCTTCAACGAATTCGAGAAGCGCTTCGTTCATTAATTTGAATTCATCTTTTGTTATATCTACAGGAGTTATACGTGGTCAAGATACCTCGGGCTGGCCAGAAAGACCCATGGCTAAAAACGGGCAGGTCGGACGGACGGGAACAATTCCCCAGGGCGGATGCAGCGCAAACATTGTGCAGCTTGAAATGTCGATAGTTATTATGAGTATTTTTAACAGTGTACAAATATTTCATCTCTTACACGCATCTCTAGACTGCGCCCTGCACTGTCACTTGCCTCCTATGTACACACAATTGGATGACTAGGCGCGTAATGCCAACCCGCTAAACAGTTGTGCGCAAGGTAAGTCTAGACGAGTTGTTTGAGACTCCCCTCAAATTCAAGCAACTAAAACAGCAGCCGGTTGCGGCTCCTGGCTTCTGCTTCCTCTCAGTCTTGCAACCATCTGAAAGTCGGATTTCCGAGTAAGGTCGAATCGAAAGTGGTCCAAAGAGGGTACCTCTCGCATGAATGATGGGCAGACTAGACCTCGGGTAGTATTCTAGAGGACGCTGTAACGTATGCCGCGGGGTAAGATAGCCATCGGGCGGCAAGGGTGCCTTGCTGTCATCCAAACAAGCACTTCCTCTGCTTAGGCCACTGCGACGCCGCGGTCAACGTGGCAGGCCGGCAAGCTCTTGGTTATGCGGTTCACCCTTTGGCCCGGGACCCCCCTCATCTATTTGGTTCTACTCGGACACATATTCTTCACAAGGTACTATGAGGCAGTTGAGACGCCTCCCCGCCATCCGGCGCCGAGTGGTTCCATGATTCTTCGGCGGGGAGAAGGCACTTGCCGTCCCGTGATTCCCGTGACGTATCGTGGTACCCAAGGTCCGGCCCGGACTTAATGCAGGGCCCACAATCTCGGAGGAAAGCTGCGAGTTTCCGGGGGCATACCGACCACCTTGCATGGTCAAGCCTTTGTTCTGTCAGACAATACGGTAGGTCTGGCTGGCCTTTCTAGTGGTGCCAGGGCTGTCTCGATGCCTCGTAGGTTCTTGAATGTGTGGCTGCTGCTGCTTACTGGGTGACCGGACTTAAGGCGGATGCTCTTACGGTCTGTTGCTTGTTATAGCCTCCTCGAAAGCGTCTCCTGGCACGGAAGATGTGAGTATATATATAACAAGAAGTGGCTTGATGATGATGGATTCTGGTCTGGTGAACCGTTTCTGGCCATGAGCCCAGTCTGGTGGTGTATTGAGTTGTATTGATATCCCTTAGAAAGCAACGCGGTTCTATCCTCACCTACACTCACAAGGTCCGTTTCATTATTTAGCCTCGAACACCGACAATGCCTCAACAGCTTGCTCCCCCCGGTCGCTACACCAGTCTACACAAATACGAAAACCTCGCCGGACCAGACGATGCTCGCCCAACGGCCCTCCGAATCATACAAGACCAAGACCTCGTCGGCAAGCTCCCGTCCAAAGTCGCCCTCGTCACCGGCGTCTCCTCGGGCCTGGGCATCGAGACGCTCAAAGCCCTCGCGGCGACCGGCGCGACGGTTTACGGCACGGCACGAGACCTCTCCAAGGTCCAGGCTGCTCTAGATAAAATGAGGGACGGGGACGGCGAGTCCTCCCTCGCTTCGGCGACACCAGAGGTACATCTCCTCGAAATGGACCTCGCCAGCCTCGACAGCGTACGGGCCGCGGCGGCGGTGTTCAAGAGGCGCAGTGACCGGCTGGATATCTTGGTCAACAATGCCGGGGTGATGTACACGCCCGAAGGGAGCCGAACAAAGGACGGCTTCGAGATGCAGTTTGGTGTGAACCACCTCGCGCACTTTCTTCTCTTTACTGAGCTACGAGACCTCATGGCCTCGTCATCAACACCCGGATCCGCGGCGCGGGTCGTCAACGTCACGTCCTCGGGTCACAGACTTCAGGGCATGAACTGGCCCGACGTCAACTTTGTCCGTCCCGGCGCGTACGAGGGGTACAGAGCCTACGGGCAGTCTAAGACGGCCAATATTCTCATGGCCAACGGCGTGGATCGGCGGTACGGGGCAAGAGGCGAAGGAGGAAGAGGAGGAGGAAGGATCCATGCGTACAGCGTACACCCGGGCACGGCGATGACGGGGTTGCAGGTCGGGGTGAGGGAACAGATGGAGGCGTTAAGGGGGAATGAGGCGGCGTGGAGGACGGTGAAGAGTCCTGCGCAAGGGGCTGCTACGGTGGTGTTGGCTGCGCTGGGGAAGGAGTTTGAAGGGTTTGGGCCGTTTTATCTAGAGGATTGCGAGGTGAAGGGGGAGACGGGGGAGAATTTGGGGTGGGCGGGCGAGGGGTATGCCTCGTGGGCTTGGGATAGGGGTGAAGAGGAGAGGTTGTGGGCTTTGAGTTTGGAGATGGTCGGTTTGCCGCGGGAGGAAGGCGGCGATTGGTAAGAATGTTATCTAGATGGTGATAGCTTCTAAGTGAAAGGTTCTGGAATCACATTGACCAATTTGGTGAGCAGTCTCCTGTTGGGTAAGGGACGCGAAGTCTATTCATCTTCAGGATGTTACGGACGTCTCATGGTCTCTTTTCAGCTATAAACCTTCCCATCCCCGATTATATCTTGGATAGAAATTAAAGTTGCGGTCGTGATTAGAAATGGTGAGGTGAACGAGACATAAGAACCAAGCTTTGCTTACAAGTAACGTCCGAGATGGAGAAAAGAAGGGATGTAGGAACAGCTCATCACCAGAAGTCATTGCAATCCTCAACCTTATTCGAGTTGGCCTGTCTACATCTGAAGGCATCTGACCATGTGTTTCTAACAGAGACCGGTTGATTCGATTATTTTGAAAGTTCAAGACATAAGTGTGTGATAAAGTGAACTGCCGCCAACAAGTTACCCCCTGACTCTATTCCTAGCCCTGCTCCTATGTATCCATATCACGACTTACTATTTTTATTTTTTCTTATTATTATCTGCGTAAGGGAGTTTGCTTCCCATAACATATGCCTTGAGATTCTAAGTAAGGGGATATTATTGGTAGTGTTTTCAAGGAAAGGTACGCTTATTCGTTGAGCGGTTACCTATTTTGCCATTCAATTGCGTCCTTAGCGGCACCCTTTGAGTTTCGAAAGTTGAACGGAGCCTTAGGTAGAAACCAAATGCTGTAGAAAGCGCGCCTCCAGGAACACAAACGCTACGATAGAAAACCAGCAAGATCTAGATATAAGGCAACCATGAATTGAGCACCAAGCGGAATACTCTCTTGCTCCTAAGTATGGATGCAGTGATAAATAATCCCCTTGGCCCCGCGCAGCAAATCCATCCGCAAAGAGCGTCTGCTGGTCTATCCACCAACATCAAGTAACAAGGCGAATTGAATAAAGGCATGAATCACAATAAATGTCGTCAACTTAACCTCATCGAAAGCTCAATCCAGTTTTCGTTGGATGGTCGTAGACGCACCGTCCCATCTTGGCAGCTTTCCGCCCGCACGTGACCGTCGTATCTTCGGAAATCATTTCGCGAGAAGATGGCGAGAGGTCACCAGCCACAATCATCTTGGGAATCCACACCAGCATCCTCTTACCCCCGGGAGTCGCAACCGGGGTAAAGGGGAAACTAAACGAAAGAAAAAAAAAGAAGAAAGGCTCTTGCGACCTCGTGGCGGGACAATCCGCTTTCTCCTCCTCCGCCCCGTCTGCCCCGTGGAGAAGAAAAAGCAGGTCGACCGTCGGGAGGTCGGTCGACTCGGCCCTATCCACGACGTCGAGAGGACCAAGTCCACAATGACCCCGAGATGACAGACCACTTTCCAGTTTGCATCCCGAGGGGTCGGCTGCTCCGGGCTTTGGCCGATGTTAAGTCTTGTTGACCTTTTCTTTTTGGCGTTTTCTTCCGCTTTTCCCTACCTCTTGTTTTTTCGACAATTTTCCGTCGGGTCCTTCTTGGCGCTTTGTGTTTGGGCATTTACTATTCGTCTTTGGCTTTCCTGTCGAACAAGCTGTGTGTCTGTCTCATTTCGCATCTCATGCCCTAATGGAATCGATCAGCGTCTGCCGGATACCACGTCGTCAGCCCTAGATAGCAATCATAGCATGAAGACGAAGGGGGTTCTTTGCGGGCGCAGAAACATCGAGCAGAACTTCTCTCTCGACCACTGAGACGGACTCGACTGGCGATTGGTTTGTCGTTCCCTTCAGCTTTCATTTGATTCAGATTCAAAGGTGCCCAAACAAAACCCAGAGAAGCAAGTGCAGCCCCCCCACCCCTCAACAAGCGTCTTGCGTCGCTGCGAGGGCGTGTGAGCCGTCAGCGGACCGAAAAGAGGTGCGTGGAGACTTTTTGGAGACAAGTCCTCCACATTTCCCCCGAGTGGGAGCCCGGACGAACTCCCCTTTTCACACAAGGCGGGAGGATGATCGATTTCACCCAACGGGGGTCATCGCTATCGCAACCCCCTGCAGGAGGAGAGACTTGCAGGCTCGTAGCGAAGCCAGACTCGCAGTGTGGCAGCGTAATCGTCGTTCCATCGGTTCCAAATGCCGAAAGAAGGATTCCCAAAGGAAGGACTCGAAGGAGGGCTGGGCGTCAGCCTTTGGCTCTTTGCCAAGCAATGGTCTGCAAGTCTAGGCATCATTGTTGTTGCTGTTGCTGCTGCTGCTGCTGCTGCTCTTTCTTCTTCCACTCTCCTCTCTGCTCTCTGCTCTCACTCTCTGCTTTGCATATCGCTTCTGCTCCTCTTTGCAGACCTCTTTGCAGAGCAGCGACAAGTTTCCAATTTCTGTGTGTGTGTCTTGACTGTCTTTCCAATAGTCCGAGGAGCAGCCGTGAAGCAGCGAAGCTTGCTGCGGGAATACGACGTAGGTCGAGTTTTCCCCAAGGGTTATTAATTCTGGATCTTTTTGCCGTCATGGTCCATGGGAAGCCTTTCAGTCCGACCTTTTCCCCGTTCCATGGTCACCCATGTCGTTGGGTCCACTACTGTATCGGCTACAGCCACATCTTAAAAACAGCTTTTTGCTGCAGCACTGCGGAAACACGCTGTCTGTCAGTCAGTGTCAGTGTGTTGGGCTCCGGTTCCCCCAGGCTCGGCTTGAGAGTAGCGTTCTGGACGTAGCATTCCATTCGTACTGTACCATGCTCCAAACACTAATAAGTCTGAGTATCTGAGAAAGTGGGAGAGTTGTACTCCATAGGAAGAGGCGTGAGACTCGAGGACAAGCGCCCGCTGCCCACCCGCCCCTGTCCGGGGAACGCCCGAGGCCTTCATCCCGGCTTTTTAACCAACTCCTTCCATATTATCCCCTCCACGTCCCCATCGCAAGAGCTGAGCTGCCAGTGCCCGCTCTTTGGGACTTTCCTCAGTCCAAAAAAGCACATTCAAAAAAGCAGGAAAGAACCTTCTTCATTGGAGCGTTTATATCCAAGAGCAAGCTTTGGGAACTTGGCAAGGACGACCTTTCTTCAAGACTCCACGACCCTGGGAAAAGAGACTGGGCGAGGACGACCAACAACAGCACACCATCTCCAGACTCCACGTTACATCCCCTTTTTCTTACGGATTCATTGCCCCCAGGGAACCCGGCTGCCACTTTTACGCCTGCGAAGACTACCGGTCCTCAATTCCTTGGCCCCCCACGTATCTTTGCCTGACGGGCGGTTTTCCAATTCTGGGTTTTCCCATTTTCCCGCTGCCTCATCTACCTCATTCCGGGCTTATCCTTTTTCAATTTCGTTTCTGCCTACCTACGGATACAGGCGACGGATACACCAAGGTGAGGGACCGCCGATCGAGAAACGACCGTCTCTCTGCCCTACCGTAGCTCCTATACCCTACCTTTTTTCCCGTCCCCAACTTCGCCTAGGAAGACGACAGAAGGGCTTCGAGGACCTGCAGAGACAGGACGTACCTCGAATCCTACACGCGGGCCCCTGCATGCGCCAGCAGCTGTGAGGTGCTTCTTTTGGTCGGACGGGAAGAAACACCACGGACACACGAAATACATCTAGAAGAAACCAGGAACGGGCGGTATCAAAGGACGAATTTTGTGTTATTCCCCCAATCTTTCAAAACGAATCCCCGCCGCCCGCCGCGCGGCGGGCCTGCAATGTCAAGATGGAGGAGGAGAAGCACAAGTTCATCATCCCGATCCACGAACGGCGTCAACCCGGGACCGTGACCGTCGACCCGAATTCCGTACCGTCTCAGCCGCAACACCAACCATCAACACCGCTACCAAGCCATGAGGCTCAATCGCCCATAGATTCCTCCCCCAGAATACAGCAGATCGAGTCCTTCACATCCTACCCGCCGGGCGCCCACCTCCGAGGGGACGACATACCCGACGCCTCGCCGCCCTACCCAGAGTCGAGAATCAGCTCCGAGGCGCCCGTTGTCACTCCGGCGCCGGTGCCCGTACGGGGACAAAGCCACCACCACCACCGCGTCCCTGCGCCGGCTCTGGCGCCAACCGACCCCGAACGGCAACAGAGCGGCACCTTGGCGGCATGGAGGCAGAGGTTTGAGGGTATCGGCGGGAGGGGATCACAGCAGCACCCGAGAAAGACAATCTTGGGCCTGACCGTGCTACGCTTCTGGGCCGCAGTCGCACTGGGAGTCATTATCGTCGGCGTCGCCATCGCCGTGGGTCTGGCGTTGGGTTTGGCTAACCGGTACGTCTGACGAACGAGCTTACTATCTACCTACCTTACCTTTCCACCCATTCCTCCTGTCAACTCTTTGTCTCTCCTCCTCCCCCGTCTTCGTCATGACAGCCTCGAAGGCTGACGGAAAGCGTCCTCCTTTTTGCGAAATCCAGCCCCTCCGACGACGAAAACGAACCAAAAGCCGTAATCCAACAGCTCGGCGTCCCTTCGCCCGCCCCGATCAACCCGTACTGCCCGCTAGCTACTGCAGGCGTGAACACGACGGTAACCCCCTACGACGCCTCCGGCTCACCCATCCGCTTCAACAACGACGAGGTCATGTCCTTTGACGTCCTCTGCAACACATACTACCCGATGCGCCAGGGGATCAACCCGTACCTCCGCGACATCCTCGTCATGACCGTCCCGGACATGCTCACCTGCATGACGCTCTGCGCTCAGTATAATCAGGGCTACAGCGACGCCGTCGGCGACGACGTGTTCCTTGACGGCGGCGGCATCTGCGTTGGCGTCGCACTCGTCAAGGGTACGGCGCAGTTCTGTCACTTACAGAACGCCACAGGGATCAACCAGACCACCGCGTCTGGCGGATTCGATGTCGATAGCGCCGTACTTTCGGGCGAGTGGGCCAGCCTGACGAGCGTGGAGCAGATTCGGACGTTTGGCGGGAATATTGACGATGTCATTGGCGCCAACGCGACTACGACTACGACTGCGGCCGCGACGGCCACGACCGGTTGATCCAATAGCGAAACCGATTCCGGGCCGATTATTGGAGCGATTTTCATGTCAATACTTCAATCCCGTGTAATGAAACGAGGGGATTATGTGTTTTTGGTCGAAGCGATTTGGAGTATTTATCGACCCTCCTCAGCACCTGGAACCGTTAATCCGGAGTTAACGCCATGTTCTCTTGGTCTGACTCTTGGTCCTGGTGTGATCTTAGTCTTTGAGGGAGGTGTTGTTTGATAAGATACAGCGATGACATTGGCGAAGCGTTGTGTTGGATACATTCGAGCGAATTTGGAACGAATTTGGAGGCGCATATGACGAGGGAGCTCCCGAGTCTGCGATATTTTGGTCTACGAGATGGGAGGCGTCCGGAAGGCACGGCGAGCCCCTGATTCCAGATCAGTGGCAGTTCGAGGAGAAGGCCTCTCTGTCCACAAATGAGACATAGCTGGATAAGCTCATTAGTAGTGTCCAACAAGTTGGACGAATGTGTCTGGAGTGCCGCAAATATACGCGAGAGGCATCAGGCGCAGACTATAGATGAAGCTGCCAGCACAAGAAATGATCAATGGGAACTGCATACATCATGAAAAGTCACTGTGTATTGATTCTCTCGTAAAACGTACAACAATTTTATACCCTCAAAAGAGAACCATGTCCAAAAACTCCGCTTTGAAGACCGTCTCTTTGTGGCCCTCGTACGCTGTTTACTACAAATATTTCTGCTAGCACGACGTTTCCCGCTTCAGTGGCCTCGTGTCCACTCAGCGTTAGACAGCCTTCTTCGAGACATCAGTGTGTGAAGCCGAGCCCTCACGGGACGCAGCTAGTCGAGGGATGTAGATATTCAGGCCGCCGGGTTCGAGCAACGGGACAGGTATGTGACCCGAGGGCTAGTTGCGCCACTCAGAACCGTTGTCGATTCCAGCAGGTGTGCCATTGCTTCCGGACGCCTTGTTCGTATCATCGTCATCATCGTCATCCAGCACACGGGCGAGCTCGTCGGGATCCTGCATCTTGGCATCGGGGTCAATGACCCCTTCCTCAAGCTCCTCATCCCGGCGCTGGTTGTCCCGGTCGGTATCCAGAACACCCTCGTCTGCGCTGACTGAGATGCCACGGGCACCCCACTTGGGCCGTCCACCACCGCGGCGGCCCTGGCCATCATCGTCGCCAAGAGCAGGGGCGCTCTCCTCGTCGTCAGAGTGGGCATCGATACGCTTTCCGAAGATTCTGTTGAGCAACCAGCCTCTACGTAGGTCGTCGGCATCAACAATGCCACCGTTGCGGAGCTTGACGCGCTGGCGAGTGTAGTATACCCAGGCGAAGTCGACATACAGCGCCGTCTGGATAATGCCGAAGATGACAGAGACCGTGTTCGGCGCCTTGTCGTTGATATCGAGCTCACGCGTGATCCATCCGATCAGGTATAGTCCACGGTACGAGCCAAGGGTGACAAGGTAGAAGGAGTCGATGACGGTCGGAACGGTGGTCTGGCGAAGCAGGAGCAGCTGGGGCAGGACGCAGATGGATTCGAGGATCTGGCTAAAGTCCCAGAGCCACTATTGGTATAACGTTAGCAGCTGTACTGCCAGCGGTGACGAGACTTTCTTGCGAGGTTAGACTTACGACGCGGAAGCTCCAGTAGCTCTCAAAGATGAGCATGGCAAAGGGAGACAAAACAAGCGAGAGACCGAAGACGCCGGCGCCGACCTTCCACGAGAGCTCGCGTTCTCTGGTGCGGGGGAAGATCCACTGCATGGCACCAATGATGTAGAAGGATGACGAAATGTAGAATATCTTAAAGATGAAGTTCCATGCTGATTGTTCGGAGAAGATGTCGAGGTAGCGCGTGCAGAAGACCAAGGCGTACAGGCCTTGGGTGATGAGGGAGACACCTGCGCAGAAACCATCAGTCAACAGGCATTCATATTGGAATCTCGGGTAGCATACCTTCAGCACTCCTGTTGCGATGTATCGCGATCATCAGGATGCATTTTGAGAGGAGATGGGAGATGTCTCCCATGAAACGGAATACCTGGCCAGCTAGTTAGCGGACTGCCTCGGGAATCGCGTATCTAATTCGACGCAGCACGTACGTTCCACGCAGTCATGGTGTCGGATGGGAAGTCGATCTTCCAGCGTATTCCGATGTGTGGAGATGTTGTGATGTGGTTGGCGGGAGGGACTCGGGGAATGCGATTGCGACACGCAAACAAGAACGGACGGGAAAAGGGAACGGCAGCTCCGTTTCACATCACACGAAGGCCGGCAAGCTGCCCACGGTAGGAGAGAGAGAATAGAATCGGATGAAGCTCCGATGGAGAGGCCGGATCCGTTTGAAACGAAGCTCGGCGATGGAATGGTGCGAAGGTATAACAAGCCGAGGAATGAAGCTATCTCCAAAGTTGAAAGTGCGGGAAGGTTACGAAGCTCGAGGTGCCCTCCTGTCAGTTTCCAGATTCAGCTCTTACGGCCGCGCGGGCAGTCACGCAGTTGCGCCCCCCAGCTGCACCTGCACCAGCTGGCCTTATCAGCTCGAGCCTGAGCCTTATCCGTGCTGGGGAAAGGTGACGACAGCCCCAGGCCCCCAGCCACGTTGTCCTGTCAGGAAGTGTTGCTATTGGCTTGTGTTTGACAGGGTCGCTTATGTAACCCCCACCTGAGGGATAGCGCCATTGAAGAAAGGGTGGATATTGCCCCGGCATCACCTGCGCTGCTGCGCGTATTGCAAAGGCCATGCCCAATTGAGAAATGCATCTTCAGGCGGGGGGCATGAGCAAGGTAGACGATGCTGCTTATTGACCGATTTTGACTGCCTATGATTCAAGAGCTGTTTGTTTGACGAGTTAAATGGCCTTCCTCAAAACGTTTCGATCGTCTTCAAAGGTCAGTCTCTGAACAGCTTCATCAAGACTAAAGAAACTCGCACTAAACTGAGCCTCCCCACCGCCCACCTCTGATCCCTCTCCCTCCTTGAGAGTCGCAACATACCACCAGATGAGTTTCACTCCAGACCCTCCGTCAACGTCTCGCATCGTCACCATAAACGGCTCCGTGATTCCTCGACGCGCGGCTGCTTGATCTGGGACATTCGCATCGTCATCCGGTGCCGTCGCCCGCGTGGCCATATCAACAGGCAGAAGTCGGCACCGGAAGCCCGTCTCCTCGAGCACCTCCCGTAAGGCTGCCTCGTGCCTCGACTCGCCGTAATTGCGTCTGCCCTTGGCCAAAAGCCATTCGTCTGTGGATAGGTAATGGAGCAGGCAGACCCTTGCCGGGTCTTTGGACAAGTCGAAGGGGATTGCGCCACAGCTTTCAACAAAAGCTTCAGAGGCGTATTGCCTGGTGACATAGTTGGAGGCTGCCATCTTTTTGCCTTGCCCTACCCGCTGGCTTGGGTCGGTCTATATGGTAGCGCGAGCGGAGTCCTCTTCCCGCAGAGTCGATCTCACGGGCATCTAGCAGGATGGTGTTGTATTGCAGAGTCGTCAGTGCACAGGCTCGGCGCTGTTGTTTTTGGCGGGGACCCTTGTCTCGCTTGCTTCCGCGCCAGTCTACGGATATTCGTGCAAAGTCTGGCCGGCCGTGCTTTCTTAGGCCGACCGGGTTGCGCAGCTGTTCACGGCGCTAGTCATCAACGGACCGGCCGCGTAGGCCAAGAATTCAAACGGGTTTGCTCAATTGTCAAATCAGAAGCTACGATGATGAAGCTGGGTAAGGTGCTAAAAGATGAGAAGTCGACGATCATATTTGCTCCACACTATGTGCTGCATAAGTCAGTACCGCAACTTTGGTATGGCCCAAGGTGACTTTGAGCATGAACTTTGATATTACCATCTTTTGAACTCGGCGCAACCGATGGGTTTTTCCCCTCGATATCGACCCAAGCTATATCGTATCTCGGGAACTAGGGAGCCAGCCATCCTCTACTGACAAGCTTAATTCCTGGAATATAGTCTTTTCTACCATCATTTATATCCGTGAGGATAGCTCCGCTTGTATTTTTTTTTACTTCACAGACAAGTCAAGATGTTGAGCCCAGACAGCATTGCATTAGAGTAGTATGAACTCATTCTCGACCCTTCACCGAAACTGTATAGTTCGAATCGGCCACAACACTACTGATATCCCACATGTTACTTGTTATGATGAAATGAAACGCAATGACCAATGACCAGGCCACGCATCTCACCGCGTTGAATGACACTCTACAATGACAATCAAGTCGAGCGGCTTCCGGCGACGATGAGACAACAAACGCGGCCACCCGAGCGCAAAAAACACAAAGCCCCATCACGTCCCATGTACATTTCCAGCAGTCCCCTAAATGAGCCAAACGGGGACAAAGATTGAAGCCAAAAAGCAATCGGAGCAGCATCCCCCTTGGGCCCGCTTGAGCCTCATTAAAATTCCACAGCATTGCGCCGCGCGCAGAAAAAAAAAAAAAAAAACGTAGAAAGACGTCGTAAGCACATTGTTAACGCTGCGTGGGGTCGCTCCCTCCTTCGGGATGTGGGCGGCAGTAGGCATCGCCATAGCACCATAGGTATTCCCATTCCAAAAAAGCAACCCAACGTATGCAAGGGCCACCCAATGCCGGTCCGTCCGCGATATCTTTAGTGCGGGAAGAGGTGCGGGACACACGGCAGCGCCAAACGGCACCGTGGGAGAAATGGGGGGCACAATATGACGCGGCCCAGCCGAAAAAAAAAGCACCAACAGAGACACTGCTACGGACCTACACCGTCACGTCAAAGGGAACATCCCACACCCATGCCTGAGTGAGCATTTCAACCCTGTCTAAGGCGGCGCAAGCTCACCCCGGGCCATCAATGGCGGGTATGTCGGCCCACCAAACGCCCATCGCTGATGCTTCCGTCTGCTCGTCTGCCCTGCTATGTATTGCCCGTATGACAGCCAGGGCTTGCTGTGTTGGTCCGGCCGTTTGTGCGGTTGTCGCAGTGCCGGCGCGTACGTAGGTACATGTGGGGTGAACTGGGATTGGAAGGGAACATGGGTTTTTGAGAGAGTCTCTGCCGCAATACCGCCCGCGCCGTTGGGGGCTTGCAACTTGCGTTCAAATCCGGAGAGGCTAAGCTTGTTGATCACATCAGGTTTTGGGGGGGGGGGGGGTCTTACGCGTGCTTTTCTTTACTAAGATGTTGCTTCGGCCCTTGGAACTGAACACACCCCCGGTCTGGCGCCTTCGCCCCTCTCTCTCACCCCGTCCCGTCGATGGATGGGTAACCGGGAGCACGCATCGGGTTCTTCGGCGGATTGGGTCGTACGTACACTACATAGTGTACACTACGGGATTATGGGGGGAAGATGGGAAGAAATGCATATGCGTATCTCCATAGGTAGAGATAGATAAAACCAGTGCAGTCCCCCCCCTCTCTCCTCTTAGGCTGTTCCTCCGATGGAAGAAGTGATTGGTGTACCTATCTGTCAAGCTTGCTTTATCAAAGGTTTCCTTGGCTTGCACCTGGACGTCTCTCGACTTTCGACAACCTCGCCGTAATATCGGAATCTCTCATACTGCAGGAGCTTTGGGGGAAGAAGGAACCAAGCGCTCTTACTCCCTGTCCAGGCTTGCTTGCCTATCGCCGCACCGCAACGCACCGTCGATGACGTTTTGACAAGACGAACAAGAAGTGAGAAGGAATTGAACGAACGCAACTTCCGGAGCTCTCACAGACTCATATTTCTCCCAAATACCACACAAAGCCAAAGTCGCACAAAGTTTGAGTTTCAAAAAGTCGATATCAGCCACAGTAAAACAGCGGAAAATCCAGCCAAAATGCAAATCGGACGCCTCCTTTCAACGATCGTCGTTGGTCTCACCATCGCGCAAGCCACACCGATCCAAGACAAGACTTCAGCCTCAACCCTGGATGTGGAAGAGCGCAAGGAATCGCGAGGCAAGGCACCCAAATACTTTCAAGAATCAGAGTAAGTCATCAGATGCTTCTCATACGGATTTTTATGCCTCTTTTCGATATCTTGGCGACGATGAGATGTGGGATGAGATGAGATGAAAGAAGCGACCAAGCGTCTTCCCGAAACTCTAATAAACCATCCCACGAAGATCACCAACACCTACACCAACACCTTCATCAGCGACATAGTCTCAAACGGTAAACTAACACCCATCCCCCAGCTTCTCAATCCACTACGACGCCCGCTTCGCCACAAAACCACTCAACGCAACAGCCCAGCGCGAGGCAGTCCAGGTCCTGATCCAGACCTACCTCGCCACCCTCCGCGACCTCGGCGTCCAGACCTGGCTCATGCACGGCTCCCTCCTCGGCTGGTGGTGGAACAAACAGACGCTCCCCTGGGACTCGGACGCCGACGTGCAAGTCACCGAGAACGGCATCAACTTCCTCGCCGCCTACTACAACATGACCACCTGGTACTACAAGTACCCGTCCGTCCCGCAGGGCCGCTACTTCCAGCTCGAGGTGAACCCCAACTACGTCCGCCGGGGGCAGGACAGCTTTGACGAGGACAACGTCATTGACGCACGCTGGATCGATATGGATAATGGGCTGTTTATCGATATTACTGCCGTTCGCTATGTTGAGGATCACCCGGAGGGCGATGGCGTGTTGGCGACCAAGAATGGCCACGAGTTCCGCGATACGTTCCTGTATCCCTTGCTCGATACCACTTTTGAGGGTGTCAAGGCCAAGATCCCGTACAAGTACAAAGAGATGCTTATCTCCGAGTATGGGGAGAAGGCTTTGACAAATCAGGAGTTCATGAAGTAGGTCATCAAACAGCCACACCCATTGCACCCGCTGAATACTAACGTTGCTCTGTAGCCATAAGTTTGTTGACAGCAAGATGGAATGGGTTCCCACCGATGAACTCTGAGGTATGAAGCAGTAGGTGATTGTACAAGTTTCACGGATATGTGTAAGGGCTCAGGCGTTTGTGTCAAACTTTCGGACAAGGTGTCCCCCATTAAAACTGATCGGCCTTCATTTGTGGCGTTAGGGAATACCCAAAGCTCTGATTTCAATAAGAAAAATGCCAATTTTCGCTTCAACCCAAACCTGTTTCTGCATGCTCGCTGTCCATAATAAAATGCTCCTCATGTCTCAGACCTAGTCCTCGTCAAGATCCTCGACCACCACCTCCGCGATATCACCGCCACCTTCCACAATGCCGATCTTCCTGATATCGGTCATGGTCACAGTCACATTGTCGTGCCTCCCCGGGTTTACCGAAATGTTGCTCCGAGCACAATCATCCATGGTTCGCTTCAAATGACCTTGTAGAGCGCTGAGGTGGACAACCAGGGGGCATTTGGAACCGCCGCTACAATTATGCGGGATGCAACTCGTCAAACTGTTGACGCGCTGAGAAATTGTCGAAAGAGTGGCATTGTCCGGTGCCAAAATATCGGTGGGCCACAGCTTCTGGAGCGCGAGGATTCTGAAGTACTCGCCGACTCGAGAATTTTTTGTACAGACATTATCGTACAGTGTTTTGTTGCCACAGATGCGGCAGGCCTTGGCGTTGGACTGGTGTCGCCGTCCGCAGCTGAGATAGAGCCATCGGGCGGTGATATATCCTTCGCTATGGGTGTCCAGGATGCCCTTGAAAGACCAAATATGCGAGCAAGCTCGTACTAGTCGGTCGTTGACCTCAAACTGGAGTCCATCTAGAGTTGGATCGTGTTAGCTTCATGCATTCGACACATACTAGCTTCTATCGAGTTGCCATGGCGCAGAAAATCGCGGAAACGGGGGAGAGATAACGGGGACCAACAAAAGTGTAACTCCGTCACCCTTACCGAGAGATTTGCAGTTTTGTAGAGTCATGAGCGGTGGGTTTCTGGCCCAGATTTGTCGGAAATGTATCGGAAGATTGCGAATAGCAAACTGCCTCAGCTTGACGAGTTCGTCTTTGGCCTCAAAGTTATCCGCTGACTTTAAAAGCATTCCAAGCTTCACAACGGATGGCTGTTCGCCATGGAGAATGATCTGGAGGGCTTTCGGGCACCAGATGCCGATCCACGGCGCGAGCGCGTCGTTGCACTTCAAGAGAAGGTTGGTTTCCGAGACTCGAAGAAGCTCTTCGACGTCGAGTTTCATGTATTGGTCTTTGTTGGCGAGGTGCAAGACCGAAAGTATGCAGCGGAGGGCTTGCCTATCGATTCTCCATGACCCAGGGAAGAGACGAATTAAGATGACCTTGCAATCGTCATGGGTGCTGAGCCCTCCGTCGATCCACTTCGCAAATTCTGTCGAAGAAGCCCGACAGATCTGGGAGGATACACGGAAGCCAGCAAGCATTGTGTTTTGAGAGTCGAGGAGAATGACGTATAAGTCTCCATTTGGGAAAATGGCTTCGGACTGCTCAGTGAAGTGCTTCAGTTGCTGGAAGTCCGGGTACTGAGGAACGCCCCCCAAAGGCTGTACTCCATGGACCTGATGCTGCCCATAGTCTGTCTGGGTTTCCATCCCGGTTGGTTGTGTGTTGTCGACCATCTTCTCAGATCCTTGATTTTCGCCGTCAGTAGCGACACGTATAAGCGATAACGCAGCAGAAAAGGCCGTGATAGTTTTGCTGAACTATCAAAGTAGCTCGGGCCAGCAAATGGAGATGGGATCGGCGAGATGAGGCAGAGAGAATGGAGAGGTTTAGAAGGAAGTTGACTCGAAAAGTTCGGGTATTATATGAGAAGCTTCCACAGCAGTAGGTGCTCTGTCTCTTGCTTTCCTTTGGGCTGTCCATCCAGAAGGCAACTGCCAGCACCATAGCATTTTAATGGGGGTATGACCTGCCTGGCCATACCAAGGGGAAGAGTCACCACCTGAGTCCCGAATGAGAATGGGTAAGGCATTTTTTTTCGTTGACTCACAAAGTTTGATCGAAAATTTGAGTATGATAGGAAGTATCAAGAGGGTTCGTTGATGCTTCCTTTACTAGTTTGCGTGCTTATCCAAACGCAAAAGTGTCGAACGGTTCTATACAAGTCAACCAATACGGAAGGCCAGGAAAATGATATTGATCCTCAAAGTCTTGCTGAGTAGAATTATATAAACGGTGCTTCTTAAACTAATCTGAAAAATATGATCTGAAGCCAAAGTGCTTTCGTTGCCCAATTATCGCCGTTTTCTGGAAGCCAATATCACCAACTAACCAACTTACCGCTTGAGATTCGCCAAAATCATCTGCCCGCCCACTTTACTTGCCTTCGCACTTCAAATCCTTACTGGGCTCGTCCACGCCGTCAGCCTTGACAACATCATCATCCATGGTAGAAAGCTTCAGCTTCCAGCCCCGGATGCCGTCAACCACCTCGACCGCGGCGTCGTTCAGCTCGCCCAACCGCTTCTTCAAAGGGCACCTCTGGTCAAAGTCGCACCGGTGGGTGCTCGTTTCCCTGATCTTGTTGAAACGGCGGGCGATGTCGGCAATGGTACCCTCGCGCCATGCCTTTTCGTTCGGGTACAGCTGGTACTTTGTGAAGAAGCGTGTGCACTCAGCTACTCGAGTCTCGGGAGAACAGACGACCGGAAAGTCACCCACTTCGGACTGCTGGCCACTGGTAGGCGGGCAGTTGGGGCAACGCATGTTGTGGTTTCTCTTGTAGATGCGGAGACACTTGCTGCAGCGGGAAGTGTCCATCAGGCCAATCTCGGATTCGTTCCGTCCAAGGTCGATGATAGTTTCCTGCAAGAGAGCGTACAGACGTCGCTTGACCGATTTCATCTTGCGAGCAATGTTGCCTGGGACCTATTAGTCAAAGTGTTTTTCAGCCTATTCATCTTAGCAAACTCACGAATGACATTGTCCGGCAAGGCAGACACAACTTCGTCTTCAGACCAAGCATTGAAGTCAAAATTCATTGGAAGATACAGGATAGCAGATCTTGTCATCTTCTGGAACTTTGCCGACTCACCAAGGTAGGCGGTCGCTGCCAAGAGGTAGCCAACGTCCCCATGCTCCACCTGCCCAAAGTTGATGAGCCAGTGATTCACCCACAGTCTGAGAGACGCAGAGCAGTCGTATTTGTCCAGGTGCACGGCCAAGACTGCAATCATCTTGGCACTGAGGCTGTACCACTCGTCTCGGTGCTTGTAGTGTAGAATGGAAAGGATGATCTCCATGGCGTCGGGGTTGTCATGGTGCAAGAGAATATCGGGCTTCGAATCGGGTTGGGTCTTGGCGCCTTCCTCAAACTTGGAAGCAAGAAGAGAGTTGAAGGATTTGGATGCGACTTTCAGAATATGGGAGGAGACAAGGAATTTCTTCTGTGTGTTGTCGTGAGCAACAACGAGAGCAACATCCCAGGAGGGGTGCAGCTCAACGATGGACTCGTCTGCCATCTCAACGTCAGCCATTTTGGAATAGTTCTGCTGAACGATGGTGTTTCTTAAGAGATTCAAGTCGTTAAGAAACGATTTAGACGATACCAGGTTGGAGACGGTGGCACTGCGCTTGATATTTTCGGAATCTAGGTTGAAGATGTAATGTCGGAAATTGAGTGATTTTATGTCTTCACAATGACAGAAAAGATAATTGAGTGAATTCTTGAAAAGATTGAGGAAGAGTGAATGAGATGTATGGGAAGGTAGGCCCCCCCTTTCAAGACAGTAACGATCAACCGGAGGGAGCTAAGAAGCGAGGTTGCTGTTGCCCGAGTCTGAATGACGGAGGCTGCTCTTGCATTGGTAGGTCGAAGGTCAAGTTACGAAGTTGAAACTTGGGAGAGTTGAAAAAAGGCAAAATATCCTGCTTTCTCATCAAATACCTTGAGTTCCCTGTGGCTAAATTTGGCGACCGAGAAGGAGCTGTATGTCGCAATATTGATGTCGAGGGCAGGTATGATGATGATGGTATCTGCCAGAAGGCAAGACTGGCAAATGAGGACTTTTCAGACTTACATGTAACAGTGGGAATACGAGTACAAGTAAGGAGATTATTCAGGAAAGTCTGCCGACTTATGTCATGATCGAATCTTGCTGAAGTAGTGTAGAAGTTTTTGAGTCCAGAGCCTTTCCTTGGCCTGGCTGGTAGGAGCTACGGCAAAGGCAAACATCGGACTTGAGAAGTAGACTGGCCTCGAGTAGTCCAGCTGCTATTAATTCAAACTTGATATGTAATGCAACCCTTTGAGTGGGAAGAAGGGAGGGTATGTGGGCGTGCAGTTGACAATGCAATTGAGGGAGCAAGTACAACGCATTCATCATCCCTCAATTTACCAGCTGACCAAGAAATGAATCTCTGCTTCTGACTGAATGAAGGGCTCGGAACTAGTAGATACTACTAGCAGGCGAATGTCTACTTGATTGCCTTTCAATATCAATGTACCTTTTCATCCTCAAGCAGTAACAGAGCACTGGTTAATGGAGAGCATCATGTGTGAATTTCCAAGTCTGGATGTTGCTTGTGCACGGGCCATTTATCGACCTGCAGGGGTGTCTTGTGTAAAGGGTGGTCGCGCGACACGCCTGGCCAGTACTTTAGTAGACGCGCCGCCCCTCAGTCTGCTGTGTACGGAGTAGAGATCGGCCTGAGCTCGTTCAAGTATGCGCTCCAAAGCACAGTAGTCACACATTGACGTCTCCTTCTTCCTCAATGATACATCTTTTTGCAAACGAATAATTCGGGGGTCTCATTTGCCCTTGCGAACTCGTCCTAGTCCGCAGTCATGACCAGTGAGTCCCATCGCAGAGCCCCACCAACGAGAGATGCTGACCTTCAACAGCACGAGGGGAGCGCATGCAACAGCGCATGCGAGGAGCTGGGTAAGCGATTCCGGCCCCTTCAACGCTTTCTGTCTAACCGCCATGTGAAGGCATGGCCAGATTGAGGATGTTTCATTTCAATTGGACTTTGGCGACGACCTCACAACCGAAATCGAAACCCAAACTAGCCCCGAGAGACCGCCGCCCCGACCGACACCGACCCCGAACACATCTGCCAAGCGGCGCAGATTAGACAGCGAAACAGCGCGACCTGGTATCGCAGAGGCGAACAATGTGAGCCAGACGCAGAAATCACCGGGAAAGCCCGATGTCTACGAACTCCAAGAAGAAACCTCTACCGAATCCGCCCAAGCCGCGGTTCCGCAGCCCGCAGCGAGTCCCGATGCTGTTGCCGAAGCTGACGACCCGGAGTCGGTCGAGTCTTTGCCGCCACCGAGACCTGCACCATCAGCGTCGTTCGTCTCACCAGTATCGAGGAGGATGACAGCAGATAACACCGAGGTGGAGGAGAGTCCTGCAGATGCGCCGGGCAGTGGGAGACGGCGGAGGATTACAACAAGCAGTGCTGTCGCGTCGAGCGCTAGGTTACAAGAAGCCCTTTCCCCGGGAGAAAACGCGACAGAGACAGTTCCAATATCGTCTCCTTTGGAGCGCAAAGTGCGACGGAACACGACCAGCACTCGCAGGTCCACACTCAGCTCTCGGGGGAGTCGCAATTCGGCTGCTTCTGCCAACGAAGACCTGGATGAGCTCTCTCCGGATCGGACAACAAACTCTGTCTCTAGGACAAGGTCTCCCGAGCTTTCATATCGGGGTGAAGCAGAGCCAGAGGAAGCGGAACAAGAAGCATCAGAAGTACCTGTCGACGTATCAGAACGAGCAACAGCAAACAATTCCCAAACCGAATCGATACTGGGACCGGAGCTGGACGCGATCGTTGACGAAGTGCTACAGCAGGAACAGGATCACAATGAAAGCTTGGCAGAGGAAGTGGGCGCGAAGGAAGCAGCTCAACAACTGGGTCGGAAGCGACCGCGCACGAGTCCACGAAGATCATCCCCGGAACCAGACTCTACGATAGCTGAGGAGGAACAAGAAGAGCCCGTGCCAAAGAAGCGACGGAAACAAGCTCACAAGAGCCCAGCGAAGCAGAAGCAAGGCAGACCCAAGGCCGCCTCCAAAAGCAAGGCGGCCTCCACGGCAAAGGACGCCTCACCCAAAGCTGCACCGAAGCGCAGGAAGAAGTCTGGATCAGATGGAGTGGATGAGGCTGTATCCATCCCCGTGCAGCGCTTCACGAAACATGTGCAAGTGGCTGAAGGCGGCGACGAAGCGGACGTGCTCGCTATGGATATCCCTTTCGCCGGGCGCGGCGGTGTGAACACGGTCGACGTGTTGACCCATATGTGCGACGAGATTATCGAGACTAGCATAGAAACCCTGAAGGAGGGAGTGCGTAATGCCCAAGACGCATCCACCAAGAGAGAGCATCGCGTGCAGCAACGGGCTCTGGAGGCGTATCAGGACGAACTGAGGACGCGGCTCCTCCAACATGTGGGTAGATCCGCATCCCGAGGCTGGGTGGTTGCCACCGTGCTGACTCAAAAAAAAAATTCAGACCATTCTCCTTGACACGCTCCACAGCTTGCGCAAGCGAGTACGCAGTGTCCAGAAAGAGAGGATCACTCTTCGGGACGAAATCATGCGCATCCGAGCCGAGCGAGACCAGGTGGCGCTCCGGAAAGATGCCGTCAGGATTAAGCACGAGAGGGTGACGGAAGAAGCACTGGTAATGTCACACACCCTGCCCCGAAAGGCAACACCACACACCTTAACTCAGCCTTATGAGCTCTTTCTAACCGCCCGTTGTGTTGTGTGTGCCCACAGAACCAATTGAGCCTATCTTCGCAGATGCATGACATTGATCTTGCCGTGGAGCGCGGTCGCGCGGCCCCCGAGTTGAGCCCGGCCGAGAAGAAGACGGCAGAGTTGGCGAACCTCGAGATTTTGATATCTAGAATTACAGACCAGGCGTGTACGCGCAGCGATACAGGGGGCACGCTGAAGCAGGTCAAGGATTTCAACGCGTTCCTTGAACGAGCTGCCGTAGCTCTAGAGGGTCGATAGACGAGACGCAGCAGAGAGACCGGAAGAGAGGCAACAAATCGCCAAAGCGATCGCGATGTGGTGTATTTGCCCACGTCATATCTGATCTTCACGACGGGTTTGGCGTTCATGTACGATGCTTGGGGCAAGCAAAGCTTGGGCTTTGGGGGGGAAGAGGCAAGGAGGGGAGGGGTTCGACGGGTGGCCTTTGCCGGGGATACCCAGGAGATTCGGCTTTCGGCCCCCCCCCCCCCCTTCTTCCCAATTGATGACTATGATAATTCAGGCCAAGAAAAGCCAAAAGAAGACAAGCAGCTGCTTCAGCTTCCAGCCCTTCACGGGGGGTTTTACCAATAGGCGGGCGTTGACTACCACGCCGTTTTGGTGCAAACTCTATTCCCCAATAACACGACGGCCCAAAGAGGGAAAAAGCTGTCTTACTTGAGAGCTGTGTAGAGCGCCATTTACTTTTGAATTGAAGACGAAACTCAGCGCCAAAGCAAATCCAAATTACCCCAAAGAAAACCGAAGAGAGTCTGGACCCTTTCCCTGTCCTGTTTTTCAAATCCAAGAGGAACTTTTTCTTTGGAAGTGACACTATTTTGGTCTTGTTGGTCTCCATTCCCCATTTTGACGTCACTAAGCCTTATTCGAGTATGACTATGGCGCCCTCCCCCAGCCTCGTCCCAAACTATCAGAACCTCTCTTTTTCTGTACTCTTGTAAATTAGCCTGCAATGCAAGAGACAGTTGAGCCTAAGCCATCATTGACATCCGTCATTCTACCCCATATAGTTCCATGGAATACCACCGTGGACTGGTTGGGGATCCCTGGAGATCGGGGTGGCCGTGTTATGGTTTTTTTTGTCACTTTTGGTGCATACTGGTAGGCGTCCCCGGGTCCGTGTGTCTGTTGTTCCCACTCTCCGCAATGTGGCGGTCGGCCACCCGGTAACTTCCACCCTGCAAAGGACTGAACCGTGAGGTAACTGTGCAAGTGTGTGTTAAGGTTGAGCTTCCCGTGCTGCCCAGTGTGCCCGTGTCATGACATCCCATCACGGAAGTACGGCACTTTTTTCACCCTGTCTTGCCTGTCCCCAATTCGTTTCCTGCAAAGTTCCTACAATCTAATTCCCGGCCTGCCCTACGTGCATTACACGCCCCCCCCCCTCCCCGTTCACTTTCACCTGTGCTTCTCTCCCCTTCTCCTCTTCGCTGTTACTCTGCCCCCCTCCAAGCCCCTGGACCCTGTGCTTCGCCCGACAACGAAGCCAGCCACAAAAAGAGGGACTCAAAAAACTGGGCTTCGGCCACGGCGTGTGGGCGAATGATTGGATGTTTTGATCATGGTTTGCCGCTTTTGCATCCGATGAGAGAGCTGCGCTTATTTGGGGGGCCCAGTGGAGGGAGTGCGAAAACCGGGAAGACCACACATTAGGAGGGGAGGGGTGTGTGTGTGTGTGTGTGTGTGTGTGTGACACTGAGCCGAGTGAGTTGGTCTGGTTTGGACAGGATAGGATACCTAGGATAGGATAGGTCAGGTCAGGATAGGTCACCCCGACGAGGTTTAGGGATCCTCGGCCACCGACCGCTTCAGCTGGGCGGCTCATTGGGGGAACGAGGGGGGAGGAGGGCCTCCAGTCTTCCTGGTTGCTGAGGTGTGCTGCTTTTACTAGCTACGTAAGTAAGGTAAGGTAGGTATGGTGGTGAGCGAGTACATAAGGCGGGAGGGGGAAGCTTCTTCTTCTCCTCCTTTCTTCCGACCCAGTTGTTAATTCAAACCACCATCAACATCATCACATAGACGTCTGTATAGACCGTACATACTACCTACAAATCACCACCTCTCTTTCCATCACCAAACCAAGATAAACCGTCGATATGCCCGCTCCCGAGGCTCCCCAGCAGCAGGCCCCCATGGAGGTCCCCGTTGAGAACGGCATCGTCACTCAGCAGCCCGTAAGCATTGCCCCCTATATCAATCGCACTCTCGACTTCAATGTGCTGACAATGAGATAGTCCGCCGAGCCCCAGCCCGAGATGGGTCTCCGTGGTGGTGAGGAGGCTGGCTGCGAGCTCTGCTGCGGCCTCTGCGGCTGCGAGGAGTCTTGCTGCTAAGCAACCCATACCACGATTGACGGGAAGATGACAGTGGAGGAAATGAAACATTTGGGAAGAACCTGAGGGTACCCTTTTTCCGGCGTTTAGAGGCGATTTACCACCATCACCTACCGATACTTAGGAGGAGAAGGGGAATGATTTGGATTTCTTGGATTGAATTACATATATCACCGATATACAATCGAATATATTATAACTTCACATCAAATTCGCAGTCTGATCATTGAGACTATCGAAGCCAAGCAATGTCGTTGAAGAGCAGAGGCTCAAAAAAGTCTTGGGTGATGCGAGGCGGCGGTCCCTGGGCTGCCAAGCTTTCAAGTGCGCGGGTAGATCTCTTGGGAGTCTTGGCACGCCTTAGCGAGGTGCTTGGAAGGGCTGAGTGGCAGCAGTGTGCGAAAGGGGGGATTCGGGTACGTCAGCGAAGGGCGCTGCAGAAGGCGACCTACCCGTTACCCGCAGGCCGAGACAATTTTTTAATTTTTTTTGCGCTAGCTGTTGCAGTTCTGCTGGTCACTGCGCCATGCTTGTCAACACTTCATCCTTCCCCCGGCCATTGGATTTTCCTGCATCACCGCCATTTCTTGAACTCATTGGATCTATGTGCCTGAGTCATCCGAGGTAGAAGGGATCACGCCCTTTCAGGGCCTCCCAGCGTCGTCATTCGTGCCAATGACCGTGCAGCGAGGCACGTACTCAGGAGAAATGACGATGGACCTCCCGAGTCCCCGTCTTCTCTTCCCGTCGGTTCCGCGAAGCATGCCCCCCTTCCTCGATGGTCGATGCACACCCTTGACGTGTTCACGAGCCCAATTCCTGTCATGGTTTCAGACTTTGCAGGTTGCTGAGTGATTTTGTGCGAATTTCCCTATCACTACCTACTCTTTTCCGCCATTTGCTAGTCTGACTTCAGGTGAAACGCGAACTCTACCTTATTCCTCCATCCCCTATACCCTGCCAACTTACCTCCCTTCCCCAACTGCCGCGGACTGCGGACCGGAAGCTGAACCCCTGGCCCTTTATCCTCCATTCTTTGAACACGAGATGGGATGAGAGTTTCATGGCTGACGCTGACCCTTGTTGAGGGAATTTACTGGGGGGGGGGGGGGAGGAGGCCTCGGTAGGTTTTGAAGTCATTTGTCGTTGCTAAAGGAAGTGCCGTGCCGTTTTCGCGTCGGTGTGAGGTTGGTCAAGTCAACGTCACAATCTCAACTCTCACCTTGACTTCTCCTGATCGGGCTCTGTAGATCTTCCACTTCGAGATTGAATATATCTCAAGAGACGATCTGAAGCAAGTTCAATGAGCGAAAGTATTGAAGAGAGAATTGAGCCAGTGTCAGGCGTGTTTTTTTTTTTTTTTTTTTTTTTTTTTTTTTGATTCTGGAAATGCATACGGAGAAGTACAGGGTAGTCTACAATCGCTTTTACAAAGGGCCGACATCGTGCTATGTAACACCCACGGCAGCCCCAGCCACGTGGGCTTCTCATGGTCCAATGTTCCAACTTGCATCATCTTCTAGGGCTTCTCTCACAGATTACCTCTGTTGTAGAAAGTCCGAGACAGCCATCACCTGAGAAACTCAAGGGGTCTTCTGTTTACTTCCCACCGCCAAACGTCCCCGAGATACGATCCACAATCGTAGCCTTGCCTTCGGCCTTGCGCCTCTCCTTCTCCTTCTCCTGCTCGTCCCACAGCTTCTGCACGTTCTTGGCCACCTCGACGTTGGCCTGGAAGTCCGCCCGTAGTGCCGCCTCCTCGGCCGCCCTCTCCGACTCGGGCAGCTGCTCCAGCTTCTCCTTCCACGAGGTCTCCAGGTCCGGCCTCGGCGTGTGCGCCGTGGCTGCGGCAGTTGCGGCGGTGGGTATCGAAAAGTCGAACTTTGGCACCGGGAGCCCTTCCTTCTTGGCGGCCTCCACGGCGTCTTCCTGCTCAATCATGCGCCCGTAGAGCTGGTCTGCGTGCATCTGGATGTCTTCTTCCACTTGGGCCGAGCGGCCATTGATGGATTGGTAGCCTAGGGCCTTGAGGAATCTCTGTTGGGGGGAAGTGGGTGTTAGTATCATATGATCAAGAGCTCCCCTGAGGTGAATTGAAGATGGTATCAGGGGGGGGGGGGGGATCGCACTGTCTGCATGGTATAACACCTCTCAAACTTTTGCACCTGACGCCTGCACATCTGCATCCTGTCCTCCCAGTCGCCGCTCTTCATGCAGTTCACCCACTCCTCCTGCTGAATGGCACAGTTCTCGAGCGCCGCCCGGCCAATGTTGTGCTTCCTCTGCTTGAACCCGTCCAGCACGTCCATGAGCTTCTCGTGGTCCGTCTTCGTCTCGGCCTCGATCTCGGCGTAGGGCCGGTACGTCTTCCACAGGTGCGCGTACCGTCCGTCCTGGAAGAGGCTCTCTTTCGGCACCTTTGGCTGTTCTGCGGCGGCGGCGGCGGCATCTTGTGACTGTGATTGTGACTGGGCGTGTGCTTGTGCGTTTGCTTCTGCCGCCAGTGCCGCTTGCGCGGCGATCCGTATGGCCTTTTTCTCGGCTTCTTGGACCTGCTGCTGCTGCTGGATCTTGACGGGGGATTCGCGCTCGAGGTATTCGCGGAGCTTGGGGTCGAGGGACTTGAGAGGGTCGTCGGACGAGGCGCTGGGGCCGAACCAGCCGTCGAACCAACCCATTGCGACGGAGAGACTCGAGAATAGACGAGGAGAGTCTTTGGGGAAACAAGAGCTTTCACCGAGAGGAGTTTGGTCAGGATTGAGAAGCTTGGGGACTTTTCGGCTTGTCGCAAACTGGGAGCTCTGGAAGAATTTCGAGGTGGGTGGCCCTGGACCAATCAGATGGCTGAGAAGACAAGGAACAGCTGTGCATACTTGAAGCTACGCACTGTATCTGGCACTGTTACATCAAGGTGTTGTTATGCTGTTCAATATATATGATGACTTTCATGTCTGTATTTGCGTCTCCCTAGCTATTTGCCATTACTTTGTGTATCAAGTGTGTTGATGCTAGTTTCGATATGGACTTAATTTGCAGTCATTGTCGAGCTGAGGCTTCCGTCTGCATATCTACACGATCTTGCCATCAAGGCACCTATTTTCCATAGCAGCTCTCGTCCACGTCTTGGTCCGAAAGACCGTCGTCGTTATGCTGCATGTTGTGACAGAGTCGGATGGGGCACAGAAACGGCATGTCACTGGATCACCGGAGAGTCTACAGTGGCACAGTCAACCCATCCTAATCATTTTTTTCGTTCATTTGACCCGAGGCGTATCGCAGTTTTCCGTTCCCGCAAAAATCACAAGCCCATCGTGTGCCCAAGACAGCCAGAGAAGAATCTCTAGATCACAACCACGTGGCTTGGCTGATCGAATTCATTTTGGTCTCTGATTCTGCATCTATAACACAATCATGTGGATGCAGTTTCCCTGATGACCTCCCATCCGGTATGTAATGAAGAACCCACACCGCAGTCACGCCGTAAATGCCAATGAGCCGATTTAGAACTTGCTGAAGGACTTGACAGCCTTGCCGGTGCGGGGAAGGACGCGCAGGACGTTGAAGCGGACCTGAAGAAGGTGGTGTTAGCAAAAAGAGACATATGGTGGAAAAAAACGAGCCCCAGGTGCGGGCATCGATCGTCAACATCGCGTCGCAAACGTACAGTCTTGCTGAGGGGTCTGCACTGGCCAACGGTGACCTGGTCACCCTCCTCGACACGGAAAGCGGGGGAAACGTGGGCGGCGAGGTTCTTGTGGCGCTTCTCGTAACGGGCGTACTTGGGGATGTAGTGAAGGTATTCTCTGCGGATGATGAGGGTGCGGTGCATCTTGGTGGAAACGACGGTGCCGGTAAGGATACGACCGCGGATAGAGACCTGGCCGGTGAAGGGGCACTTCTTGTCTGGAGGGGTCCAACGTTAGCATTTCAGTCCTTTGGTTCGTTTGCATGTGTTGTATCCCAGCGCGCGTTGCAACAGTCCTTCATCGTGTGTCGTGCGTTTCCTCCTCTTGTCCTCCGCAGTTCCAATCCTCGTCTGCCATCGTTTGCAGTCCTCCATTCGTGTCGCAAAGTTTCGTCGAAATAAAATATCGTGGCCGTCGCGCGCGCATGGGATTTTCCAACACTTCAATCGATCTCGCTCGCAAACGTACCGATGTAGGAGCCCTCAATGGCAGTGGCGGGGGTACGGAAACCCAGACCGACGTCCTTGTACCATCTGCGGCCGCTCTTGCCGGGGCGAGCAGACTTCGCCTTGGTCTTCTGGTTAAGGAAGATACCCTTCTGCTTCTGGAAAGCCCTCTCGGACTGGACGGTCAACTCGGTAGCCATCTTGACGTCGTGGTGCGGTCGACTGGGCGGGGGTGGGTGCTGTTGAGGGTTAGGAAGTCGTTGATGCTGAGCCGCAACTTTTCACCAGAGTCTGCAAAATCGGGGGTGAGAGAACGTGAGGGTCGGGCCTGCCCTGAAATTGTCATTAGGGCTGTGGACATGAAAAAATTAGCGAGGCGCCAGCCCCACCAGTGTTCAGCCACGCTCAGCATTGCAGCCACAGTTGGAGATCTCAGCCACTCTTTTGCCATTTCAGCCACAGCTGACAAAGACTCACAGATTCTGCACCCTGGCACGCCTGGTCGCAAAGGTGGTCCATGCGGTGACAGCGGTCTTTGGCGCTACCACAGCAACAAAATCGCGTCTATTGACATCACTCTCTGCAAACCAATCAGAACCCTGGTGGGCAGTAAACAAGACCCATGACAGCCCACCACCCTGCTTTCGAGGGAACATACCTAGATGCTTTGGGCACATTCACGCCACTACCGATTTCAGTCGCGTAGCTCTCCCCAAGTTTAAGAGGTGACATGTGCACGCTTCTTTCTTTGACCTGAAGCCTGATAGCAGCACATCGCCGCCACCACCAGCACCGACTTTCAATATGGCTTCATTTGGCGATGCGACACTCCCCTCTACGCGCCGGACACGCAAGTCCATCGGCGCGACCTCGTCCTCGAGAAAGAATGGCGACAAGGAGAATGCGACAATCGACGTCGGAAGCACCCTTGCGGAGAGCAGGAAGAAGTCCCGCAGCAAGAGTATTGGCCCTGGAGGTCTGGACGCCCTGAAAAGTGCAAATGGGAACCGCAGAGCTGTAAGCAGTGTCATCCTGACCATTGTCGTCTCACGCGACTAACATGCGTATCTTAGTCTTTAGCTGTGCCTTCACGGCCTCCGCCACGATCTATCTTGAAGCCCACAATGCCCTTACTACCCGAGATTCCACCACATCGAAAGCGCGCATCCGACCTCATCGATCTTGGTCCGCCGCGGTCAAGCACCCCAACAATCACAGGCAATACCGACCCTACAGGCTCAGGCTCCAAGATCGCCTTGCGCACCGAGGAAGAGCAGCAACAAGCAGCTAAGGAGCGCGAGCGCAGAGACGCAAGACGTAAATCTCTCGCAAATCGCAGAGTATCTTTTGCCGCGGAGGCAACCCTTCACACTTTCCATGAAATCGATTTCATGCAAGACCCGAATACATCAACAAACAAGTCGCGCCGTAGATCCTCTACCTCTGCCCCCCAGATTGAAGAACCGACGGAGCGACCATCAACCCCGCCGGAGCAGGATGATGATGTCGTACCCCAGTCGCCCGACAACCAGAGAGAACTGCATCAGAAGAAGCGCAGGAGGAGTTCTACCGCACCACTCATGGAGTTTTCCGATGAGGAGCAAGACACTATGGCCACAGGGTTCAGCTCCGACTCCGAGCCAGCGGATGCCGTCGAGGAAGTTGCAGATGAAGAGGAGGAGGAGGCGTCTGATTCGAATAGCGACTCTGACGATGATGGCACAATGATGACCGTCGACGACCATGAAGTTACCAGCGCCTCAGTCATGTCCAGCCGGACAACAGCATCGGATGATGATAATGACAGTCTTGATGAGGCACTCCGCACAGCTGCTCGGCAGGCTGGCACACAAAGGCTTGGTTTCGATGATAGTGATGATGAAGAAATCATTCCCTCTTTTGGTTGGATCAAGAAGAGCAAGCCAGAAGATGAGGCATCGCAAGATCAAGAGAACACTGCCCCTCCCCCGCCTGTCCAAAAAAGCCCACCTCAGGATAGGGACGAAGATGAGTTGGACATGGACATGGACATGGACATGGAAATGGATATGACTGCTGCTGTCGGAGGCATCCTCGGCAAATCAGCCGGCGACATCGAACCAGACGAAGAGATGTCCATGGATGTTACCCGAGTACTCGGCGGCATTCTCTCTCGAAACACCAAAACACCTGCTGAGAATGACGTGGAGGACCAGACCATGGAGTTCACCACAGCCGTCGGTGCCATTCGCGATTCCAACGCTGATGACGATCTTTTCGACGACACTGGGGTGGAAAACGAGGATATGTCTATGGAATTCACGAGTGCCATCGGCGGCCTTCTGCCATCACATCCCAAGAATGATGCCACTCAGAAGCGCCGTAGGACAATGACGTCTCGCGGGAACCAAGAGGAGGCAACCATGGACATGGATATGACTGTCGGTGTTGGTCGCATACTGCCAGTGGCGGACGCGACTATCCACGGAGGAGACGCAACGATGGGCATGGACATGACTATCCCGGTCGGCCGCATCCTGTCTTCACAGGACGACACATTGAACGAGCTGACGACGCCAATGGACATGACGCTCCCCGTTGGCCGTATTCTGCCCTCTTCCCAAGTGTCCGATCAAGACGAAGCAACTATGGGCATGGACATGACAATGGCAATCGGAGGCATCATTCAACCATCTCAACCTCCAGAATCTCGCCTCGCCGCTAAGAAACTTATGGAGGCGGAAGTGGATAAGCCAGATACCCCTACCAAATCCATGTCCGCAAAGCCTGCGTCACCTGCCAAGAAGTTGGCTGCCTCGGCCAAGAGACACTCAGTTGCAGGATCAGAAAATGCCAGCAGTCCTGGGTTTAACCCTTTCCAAGGCAAAGGCCTTCGTCAGAGCATGCCGGGTACAGGCTCCATATCAGAATCACCGGCTAGAACCAGAGCTAGAACCAGAACACCCAGCCCGCCAAAGTCTGTCGCTCCGCCACACGCTGCTGCTGGAACACCGCTCGACAGTTCCCCAGTCAAGACGCCCCAATCGGTGAAGAAGCCTGGTCGCTCAAAGTCAAAATCTCCAACTAGAAAGCCTGCAACTCCTTCTCCTGAGAAGACTGCTACTCGGTTGAATATCTTCCAGCAAGATCCAGCCACCGGCGCGAGGACGCCAACCTTTGTTTTGACACCGCAAACCCGAAGGCACTCTGGCATCGGCGCGGACAAGCCGGGCCTCGGGTCACCGCGTGTTGCTGCGCTGCTTGACCGAAGGGGATCCCTCGGCGAGACGGTCCAGGAGTTCATTCCCGGTAAAGTCCGTGGTGTAGCCTTTGCTAAACCACAAATCATTGAGGATGAAATCGATAGGGCCCGCCAAGAAGAGGAAGACAAAGAGAACGGCAGGAAAATTCTTGAGCGTGAAGCAGATGGTGGCGAAAACGAAAAGGACGCGACCTTGAACCTGAGGGAGATGATTGAAAGCTTGAGCCCTCAAAAGAAGCGCCTGCAAAGCCGAAAAAGTCTCCACGTTGGAAGCGCACGAGGACTACTTGGCAAGCGGCCCGCCGAGCTCGATGATGAGGAGGACAGCGAAGACCGCGACGGCGTCAAGAGACTCAAAGGCCATCAAGGCAGCCCGGTGAAGAATGTCAAGCTGCAGCAGCCTCCCAGTAAGGCAGAGACTACCGGTCGCAGATTGACTCGATCTGCCAGAAAGAGTATGGAGGAAAATGCTGCATCAAAAGCAACGCCCACTCATTCTGAATCGCCTCAGAAGCCTGCAAGCTCTGCTAAGTCACCAAAGGGGCACGCTCGATTCAGGGATGTCGAAGAAGACACTGTGCCACACCCAATGAACCTTGAGGGCTCCCCTGCTCGAGACGAAGCCGAAATCATTGACGACGATGCGGAGGAGCGAATTCACCTTCAGGACTTCCTCAACATGACCTCAATCCGCTTCATGGAGCTAACAACCACCAAACGGCGTCACACGCAAGCTCCGGACATGTTCAAGGACTTTGGTGGCAAGGAGGACTTGTCACTGGAGAACTGCGTCGTCGCCGGTGCATGCACAGTACCTATGCTTGAGCTTTACCAGCATTCGTGCCGCGAACTCAAGAAGTACATCTCCGAGGGCCGTCGAATCGTTCGCGAGATCGAGTCTGAGACCTTTGAGGAGAACCCGCCCTTGTTCCGAGAATACATGTCAGCATCGCCTGATTTCAAGAACATCCTTGACAATCAGTTCAAGAACGGCAAAACTCATGCTCGTCTCGAGAGCAAGGCGATGTGGTACGAGTGGCGAATGAAGCTCCAGGAGGGCCTGAGGGAGGGTCTTGTCAGGATCGCCGAGGGCATGGCCGTCGACGACAAGGTACTTCAGCAACAGCAAAAGTTGCTCTCTTCTGTCCTGCCTGCAATTATGTCGCGTTTCGAGGTTCTTGAACAAGAGCACAAGAACCTGCGGGCTGTTGCAGAGGAGCTTGCCGATTGCGACCCGGAAGAGCTGGAAACTGCCAGATTTGATTTGGCCGCGCTTGACAACGATGTCCAAGAGAAGACTCGGCGGGTTGAGGAGCTCCGACAGCAGCTACAAGAGGCGGAACAAGACGTCGAGCAACTTGCGCAAGAGAAGCAACAATGCCACGAGGACATTAAGGAGGCTGAGAAAATCCGCGAGGAATGCCGAGGTTGGTCTATCAGTGAGATCAGCGCGCTTAAGGGTAAGTTTTTTTTTGTTGTATCCGAAGAAATCTGACCCCACCAAGACTGACATGCCGGCAGCCCGAGTGGATTCTCTTGAAAAGCAACACGGTTGGGCTGTGACTGGGGTTTCCGGAAGCACCGTCTCAATGACATATCGCCGCGAGATTGAGCTGGTGTTCGACATGGCGTCTTTCCAGCGTGGCCAGAAGAATTCGCGCATTGACCTGTGGTACATTGCTGCAAATCGCGAGAATAACCCCCTGCCTTCAACGCCGGAAAAGGAATTTTTCCTGCAATGCATCCGGGACCACATCCGTGGCTTGCCGCAGAGCCGCACTAAAATTGCGGACCTCCTCCACATGGTTCATTCCGCGTGGGACAAGTCTAATTCCACTTCCAACCAAATTCGCCGACTCAACGTCACCTTCCCCACGGTTGTCTCCCGGACTTCAGATTCATCCATCGCAGTCAGGTCTTCGCTTCTTCTGCCGTCGATCGAGACCAAGGTGGTGATTGCCCTGGAGATCCATGGGGTGAGCAAGCCTGACGGGATCGACTTCACTCTGCAGCCCGAGGCAACTGTTGTTTATGGAGAACACTTCAACACTGGCAAGATGGCCGAGTTTTTGACCACCCACTTGGGTGAGAAGGCACTGTCTCAAGAGGAGGGCGTGCCCTCATGGATCGATGTTGTTGTTGACCTGCATGAGAGGCTCTTGGCGAGAGGGAGGAAGCAAGGTTGAGGAGCGTTGGTAACCGTTTCTTGTTATGATTGACGATGGTGGGACATTGTTTTTTGGGAGGCAGTATTTCCGGTTTAGTGGCGCGTATGGCGGATACCCAGAGCCTGATGCAAAACATTGCTTTTGCTTCCGTAATTAGCTGCATTTTCAATCCGCAATCGACTGTTCGACGTAAATCTTGCGTCCCATGCGCCTCGATCATACGCTCGTTGCTCCAAGTGATACTTCGTCTTACTATCGCTGTCGGACGAAATATCAATCACAGGATGAGATTTATCGCTCTTCCAGATGGATGAAGATGTGCAACTTCTAGGCTTCGAAATTTGAGCAGTCAATGAGGATATGTTATCTTAGTCACCATGGGATAAGTTTTGATAGAAGCATGAGACAAACGTAAGGCAAGTATCAAGACCCCGGTAGAGCAATCCCTCCGACAGAAGCTTGATGGAATGAGGATTGGGTCTCGGTGAATGACTTCTCACCGAGGTGCATCACCAAGGGGCATTACCAACACCACATATCTACATAGCCGCATCGTCCCACTGATGGGTGATCTTTGTTTGCAAGTGACAAGTGAAAATACCCATGGAAGCTATCCCGACCAAACGCAGCCCTCCCGCCCACACCCGGCCATCGCCATCCCGCCCGACCCACCATCCTGAATACGCATCCCCTTCTGGTATATTCACGTCATATTTTCATGAACTTCACCTGAGCAGACAAGACGAAGGTGAATTATCCGAAAGCCCTGCCTCTCTTCGCGACACGTGCCGAACGACCCAACACCCAACCGCCGACCACTGACCGCCAGCCGGCCCACCACCCACCCGTCGCGCATATCACTTTTTATCGCGGCGAAGTTTTGAAAAAAACTTCCTTCTCTTTTCTCTCTTTGTCGCGCTTCGATTACGAAAATCATCACCCATTATTTCATCCCGGCTGCTGATGCTTGCACGCGCCGCGGACTTCATTTTCTGATCGATTCACGACTTCCTCACTTACTCACTGCTACTCGACAAGACCTCACGATGGATTTCGCGTGGTTGATCGAGGCTGGAGAATTTTCCGCTTCCATCTGGAAGTGGATCTTCTTCATCCTAATCACCGCGTACGACTTCGTGTACGACTTCGTCGAACCCTTTACGGAATCCGCGTGGGTGTGCGAGATCGTAGGGGCTTCCGGTTCCATCTGGGACTGGATCTCTTACCTCCACACCGCCGGTGACCAAGCTTTCCGCGCCTTCTTCAACATGGAGTTGGCACCTTTCACGCCGCTTAATTGCGCACTCGTTCTCGCTGTCCGTCTGATCTGTATCGCCGCGACTAAACGCCTCGAGGCGTATAGTCTGAGATGGAAGGATGGCGGCAAAGATGATCCCTTGTTTCTCCACGTCGACGTGGATGATGTCTCGGGTGTCTACAAGATTGAGCGAAAGCCCAGGATTCCTGGTACCTGGCCAGAGTTGTCCTTTCCGACGTCGACCAAATAGTATTGGTCGCGCGAGAGTGATCCCTCTGTTATGTGAGTAATACCCTCCTTCATTGATCTCGTTTCACGATATGCTGACAACAGAAGCAGACCCCCCTCGCCACCGAATCAGGCGGTGTGCGACCCCGAGCCTGCTCCTAAGACCGACATCGAAGTCTTGAAGGCCAAGCACGAGGAAGAGAAATGCGAGATGTGGACGATGTATAATGCGTCAGCCTATCAGAACAGGAGTGAGATCTTCCGTCTGAAGGCACGTCTCGCCAGAGAGCGCCCCCGTCCCAAATTCGTCATCGACAAGACCAAGAACCTGCCCGACGTGATCCATAAGAGACTTGGTGGCGTTGAAGGATTCTTCCACAACCCCCAGAAGGTCAGCAAGCAAGACTTCAGCCTCCGTGAATCTATCGACGTGCGTCGCGCGATTGTTTCCAGCAACCAGGTCTTGGCAGCCGGCAACCACGCTTTGGCGGCCAGCAACGAGTCTCTCGCCTCAAGCATGCAGGTGTTGGCTTCGAGAATTGAAGCGGACGGCAAGGTTCAGCAGGACCTGGTCTCGCAGCAATTCATGGCAAACTTTCACCTGCTCCAGACTTACCGCGGAAAGAGCACGATGCGACCAGTTCCTGAGTTCTTCGATATCAACAAGAGTGCCAGTCAAGCAAGCGTCTCAAGCCAGACGTCAAACGCCCATGTTGATGTTGCGGAAGTCGCCCAGACGTCAAGCAAGATGATCCAAGTCACAAAGTCAACACAGACTTCGGATCGCACCCCTCTCTCGTTCTCGCCCATTGTTGTCTCGCCTATGTCGACGGCCCCGGTCATGCTCTCGCCGGCTAACTTCAAGGCGGTTCAAGACACTGAGCGAACGCAGAACTCGAGTCCTGGGCCTCTGTCTCTATCACCGCCAGTCACCTCCTCCTCGCCAACCACACCGGTACCGACCTTGCCTGTCAAGCCAAAGGAGACTGACAGCGCCAAGGCCGAGCTTGTCTTGACTACTACGAAGGTCACTGCTCCGCCTGCGAGCCCGATGCCGCCAAGTCCTCTTGCTGCTTTGGAGAAGATTGTTGCCCTTCCCGCCTCTCCGGTACTCTTGCCTAGTACCCCTGACGAGAAGGTCTCATCAGCTCACCCCTCTCCGAATCAGACCTTGCAACCCGAGATGACAGAGAAGATGCCCTCGTCTGGCACATCTGCTACAGAACTCAAAGCAGCTCATGCCGCCGCTACTCAGCCTCAGCCTAAGATCGCAGACAAATTGCCCCCGCTTATCGGAGAGCTCTCCTCAGACAACATGTTCGTGGTTCAAGCCAAGCAACTCAAGAATGGAGATCAGACACCCTCGCTTGGTAATTCTCCTAGAGTTGGCAATATCTTCGCGGCTCATGCTCAGTTTAAGGCTGTCATCGTCGAGCCCACAGTCGTTCGGCCGCCTTCAGAAGTTCCTGCTTTCTCCGTACCAATTGCCGATATGGAGCCTTCGCCAGAAATCTTGACTCCTCCGATTTCCCAGTCCCCTCTTCCCGCTGTCCCTGTCAATTCCCCAGCCGAGATCAATGAACGACCCGAGATCAAGGAACTCCATGAGATAGTCCTTCAGACACAGCAGGTCCCGGTGGCTTCTCAAGCCCCGAAAGCAGCTGCCGAGGCCGTGATCGCAACTCCCATCGTTATACCTGGTCCGCCTATTGACAAACACTCGGCCCAGCCTGACAGCGAGATGGACTGGGAGACAGACGCTAAGCGAAATACGCAAACCGCTGAACCAGAGTCTGACGAGGAGAACGACAAAATGGATGAGGATTCTCCTTTGAAGCTTTGCTCGGGATCCGACTTTGAAGACGGCTCTGTTTCGGGCTCTGATCTTGCACCTCCCACGCCCTCACCTGCTCCTCGTCCGACTGGGCCTCGGCCGCAACAGGTCCCGGACGAAACTATGTTTGATGCACCCCAGATCCGTCCTAACCGCGAGCTTGAAATGGAAGAAGCCGCCGTGCCTACGGTAGACCGTCCCAACGTCCAGTTTCAACCTGCTCCTGAGGCTGTGATGATAGACGTCCCCGGTCCCGCCGGCTCTGAGTCCAAGTTGAGAGAAGTTCCAGAGAACAAGGCAAGGCAGTGGTCATCGCCTCCGGTATCCCCTTCTGTTACCTGGCCTAGCCCTCCTCACGAGTTTGTTGAGGTCGAAAAGGCTTCCGTTGTCGTCAATCCTGAGCCGGAGTTGAAAGAGTCGCTGGTGGACGTCGAGGAAGAGAGATCTTCACCTCCGGTATCTCTTCCAGCCCAGAACACTTCTACTACAGAGGTCGTGAAGGTCGATAATGTCCCCGCCGCCGCAGTTCCCGAGCCACAGGTGCCAAAGAAGCCCATAAGAATCAAGTTCGTCAAGAGGGCCGCGAATCCGTTGATGACCCCGGTTCGGCCCAAGACAAAGCCGGCAGCAGATCAGCATGCTTCTTCCACCAGATCCGATGCAGACAGCCCTGACGCCTTGGTTGTTCAAGCCCCTGACAACTGGAAGTCTACCACAAAGGCAGACACTGTGTCGAAGCTCGTGCTGCTACCAGTGAGTTCGTTCAAGTCAGCCACCCAGCCGAGAACAGACCTCCCACTGGATAGCGCCGGATCTCGCAAGCAGAGCCCGCTGTCCAAGACAATCACCGAGCCTGAGCCAGACGTGCCCGAAGAGCCTGAGGAAGAATCACCATCTCCCACCGTCACTCGTGCGCCTGAGCCCCCTGCGCAATCTCAAAACGAGACAGTGGCACCTGCGACAATCACTGAACCAGAGTCAGACGTACCCGGAGAGCCCAAGGACAAATCAACGTCTCCCGCCGTCCCTCAGACACCGGAACCGCCTGTGCCTGGAAGTGGCTTCCTCGCAACGCCCTCGACGATTCCTGGACTCTCATGGCCTGCGCCGCCCCCGCCAATGCCCCCGGTCACGAAGCAGGCCCTCGTCCTTCGAGACTTGTCTCAGGAGCCCGAGGAGATGGAATCTGAGTCCGATAACGATTCAGACAGCGAAGTAGAATTCCTAGGAATCGATGAGTACATCCCACCGCGCAAGATCTTGCCAATCCGTCGCCGTCGTTTGGAACTGGCTCTGGGGCCGGCTCCGACTCCTCAGACCTCAACTTCCGAGGCTCCTCCCTCCCGATCGCCAACACCAGAGTACGAGGCCTTATCGGAACTCCCTTCGGACTCGGACGACGACCAGGCAATGTCTGAGGACGAAGACTTCCCTGCCCCTCGGAAAATCCTCCCGTTGCGTCGACGTAGATTGGGAGACGAGGAAACGCAACGCGCACAGGCCCAAGAGCATGAGTTCCGCAAGAAGAAGCTCCAGGATGAACAGAACGAATTAGACGAGAAGGCGGCGAAATTCCGGCCTCCGCCGCCGATTCCTATGGTGCCAGCCCCTTTCGTCGTTCATGCTACGCCTTTGAAGTTCAACCCCTTGCCTGCGCCTAGTCCTACGCCCGGGCTCAGTCCTGCGTTACTTGCCGTCGCTCCGTCTCTTGCAAGACTCGTGGTGGTGATTGGATCCCCCGAGGTGGAGGACGAGTTGAAGAAATCTCTGGAACCGCTGTGGGACCTTATCGATTCTGACCAGTTGAAGATGTATTGTGCCAAAAGCCTCACGCAGCTGGCTATCAGAAGGTGGGGCGAGCTCATGGAACACAAGCGATACAACAGGGGACAGAGCATTTTCCGCAACATGTTCGATGATCTCATTGACAGATGGGCCGCATTAGTTGTGAAGGAAACTTTCGTCGCTCACCTGATCGTACCCGATGATTCCGAATCACAAGCTGAGATTATGAACCCATGGCTGGAGAAGATCAGGGAAGCCCGGAAGAAATGAACACTCTCGACACGATACCAAGAGATGAGACAGATGTTCAGGACCGCGAGATCGAGGAAAAAGAACGAAAAGACCAAAAAAAAGTCCCAAAATCACAAAACCCGGAAAAAAAAAACCCCCCCCACACACGCATACAGCCTTACCGATGGGATCAGAGAACCTTGAAAGAACCAAGGCTTCCTGAGACGATACCAAAAGAGCAGATAATGGAAGAGGAATTCGAGATGAGTGAAATAGAAAACACCAAAAAAAAGTCTCAAGATCACAAAACCCGAAAAAAAACACACCCATTCACCTGTACCACGACCACATAGCACCAGAGAGACTGGGAGACGGAGAGCGACTGGCGCGATGTTTGATTACTGACGTACGAAGAGTTTGCTATTTTTGTTTGGATTACCTGTTTTTCACCTTTGTCCAGCCATTTGTACCACCACCGACAGCGCGATTCGCCTGGCCTTCCCCTTCGTCGATTGCCCAAGCATCATCCTCAAGAACCTCCCACTCCGGAACGGCAACCTCACTGACAAGCTTCTTCTTGAGCCTATCAGCAAGCTTCAGGGGGGTAGGAAGCTTGAAACCGCGAATGAATTCGGATCCCTCTGCGCTGCCAAGGAAAGCATGAGCTGTGCCGTGGGAATATCGTCCCATCCATGAGGGAGCTTTGCCGAGCTCTTCCTGATCAAGCGCATCGTGCTTCGCTCCGGGTGACGAAGTCGCAGGTGGATAGAGGCGACCAGTCTGAGTACTGTGGAGTTGTTGGCCAATGAGCAAGTTGTACAAGTTGCGACCCATATGACACACATCCTCGAACGAGTTACGATCTCCTACAAAGACGCCCTGAGTACTGCAGGCCCAAGCAATATCGTACGCCAGCAATGTCACGCCCTCTATGAACAAGGAATGAGCAGCGGGGTCTTCCTTGGCCAGTACGGGCAAAGCCTTGTCGACGAAGAGTGGCCGCGGGCGAGGCATGTAGTGCGGCTGGCTCTCGCGCTCCTCTGCAGAGAAGCTGGTGACAGGCGAAGTTCCAGGAAACGGTACTTCACCATGCTGATACGACGAAGAAAGATTGAAGATGGTCGGGCGCGGATAGTCTCGATGCGGTAGTGTTATCTCTGCAGGGAGCCTGACCGAGAGGTAGTGAGAAGTCAAAGCCAGAATATGGGCGATGTTGGCGAGAGAGGTGGACAAGAGTTCAGGCGTTATAGCTGTCAAGGTCAGTTTGAGTGTCATTCGCTAACTTTGGGTTGCGATACTAACCATTCATAGATGAGAGATCGACGATGTCAACACCCCCGATCTTGTACTCGTACCGAGCGGATGATCCCTTCTTGATGCGACGAAGTCCATACAGCTTGGCAGCCTCCATGCACAAGAAGGATCGAGTCGAAGACATCTGGTCCGCACTACGGGTCCATTTGTACTTGGCAACCGAGATGGAACGTTCAGTCTCTTCCAGCTGTCTAGTTCTCCGAGCAGCTATACCACTCGATGCAGATGCAAGGTCGGATTTGCGGCGAATGAGGGCGGCTTTGCGATCAGCAATCTCCTTTCTGGCGGCGGCAATTTCACCCTTGAGTTTCTCAGCTTGGGCGATGATCTGTTCAGTGCGATCTTCGGCCGTTCTTTGAGAGGCACTCAGCGACTCGAGAACAACGCTTCGACCAGGGCCATTATCTGCCTTGTCCTGGGCAAGCAGATCGTTGATCTCCTTTTGAAGAGTCTCATTCTCCATCAGCGCCTGGAGATTCTTGATGCGACCCTCATAGCAGTGGTTGCGAGCATCGACGGCACAGAGAAAGGGAAGACGCTGAGCATGGTGAGGCCTACAGCAGATGTCGCAATTCATTTTGGCGATTTTCTGGTCGAGTCCAGGCAAGCGGCGACTCGAGATGTGATACGACGAGGCGCATGCACAGATCGTTGTTCCCGCGGAATGACGTTTGGTATTTGAGTTTCTGGTAAGTGGATCTTGGAGAGAGAAACCCCCAAAAGCCTTGGAAGGAATCACCGACTTGATATATACGCCGACTCTCGGAAAGCAAGGTGCGTCAATCGGGGCGTTCAGACGACCTGTGAGTGGCAGGTCGCTTGAGTCGTCGGTCGAGTCACGGGAACGAGGTCGGGTGAGAGACAATGAATGGGCCAGAATGGGAAACACTCGACTGCCGTTGGTGTTGGCGCAAGCGGACTCCGACAGGCAGCAGGGGTGACCCCATGGGCCATGGCACCCTCCCCATGTCCCTTCCTGCGCCACACTTTCTTCCCTTGGCGCTTGCTTCCCTCTTAGCGCCACACTTTCAGCCTTTGGCAGCCAAATCGCTAACGTTCCTTTGGTAGGCAGGAAACACCAACGGTACCGCTACAGGAGCCACTTGCCGTACCTCCCTGAAGCGGCAGTAACACCAAGACTTCCTGCCTCTCTCTACACCCGAAAATCAACAGCACTTTCAAGGCGAACCAAAAAAAAAAAAAGAAGGATCCCATTCACAACCAAAAAAAAAAAAAAGAACAACAACCATCACCATCCAGTTCCTCAGCCTGTCTTCTCTTGATTCCTCTCCTTGCACAATTTTTCAGGCTCAGCAGCAAACATGGCCGACGCGGGAAACAACCAGCAGCAAAAGACTACCAAGACACCCGAGCCTCGTTTGGACCAGCAATTTGCCAACGGTCAGGACAACGGCAACAACACCCCCAGCACTCCGGGTGTCTTTCCGGCTTTCGACTGGGAGGATTTCGAAGCCCGATACGAGAAGGCTCTCGCCGATGCAGACGATAAAGAGCGCGAGCTTTTGCTCGAATTCGACGGTCTCGTCAAGGTATGGTTTGATGCCCGCTTTTTTTTCAACTTACAGTCATGGTGACCATCTCTCTACAGTACTTCAACGTCTGGGCATCCACTTCCAGTGCCCATGACAATGAGCGTGCAGTCAAGCGCCTTCACACCAGACAGAGATTTGTCAATCTGGAGGAACAGAACATGGCTCAAAAGCAGGAGCACAGTAAGTTCTTCTTCATCATTGTCTCGCTACCAAGTGTATCCGACTAACTCATTTACAGTGACTGAGGTTCTCCGGGCCTTCCAAAGCGCGCTCGCCCTCTTGAGCAAGTCTTAAGTGCCCTCAAGGCTGGTGACAGAAAGGGCAATCACAATGTTTGATTATATGTGCAGAATACCTTACTGCATGAAACATATGTTCGACTTTCCAAGCAGGAGCGCGCTGGTTCGCGTCCCCTTCCCACTTTCCCTGAGTGATGGTGGTGAAGCGGGCCCCACACGTGATCCAAGCTCCAGGCGCCAACGCGCTGATCCCGCGGTTCTCCCCGTCAAATATTCAACTTCCCTATTTCCTTCTTACAATTTCCTGCTCTCAAATCTTCCTCCACCCAACTTCCTTCCTTCAACATACATCTACCTCAGATTTTCCTTCATTCAATCACTTTTCCCACAAAACACTCACCAAAAGAATATCCAAGAAGCATCACATCAACCCACCAACCTCAATCTTCCACTCCAGGCTGGCCCGAATGATGCCATCGTTTGCTGCACCAAGCGTCAGCAATGTGAGTACCTCATCGATACCTTCCAATTTTTATACTGACTCTCATCACAGAACGACTTGGTAGCATTCTTCGAGGCTCATTTCTCTGGTGCGGCAGTCCGCAATTTCCAAGCTGATTTTTTAAATCCAAATTATCAGCCGGACGCTGCAACCACCAATGCCTCAGTCGAAGAAGATGGCGACGTCTTTGAGGAAGAAGATGATCTCGGCTACTATCACGACGGTGTCAAACGCACACTCACTGACGACCAAATCGCCATGTTTCGCCATTCCGAGCTCGAAACCATCAAGAGAGAGCAAGAGCGACGTTCAACGGCAGTACGCCAGGCAGGTGAGACTGGCGAGGATGGCACCCTTGTGGCTGCCGAGTCATCTCGCCCGCCGGGCAAAGCTGCTAAGAACAAGAAGAAGAAACGGGGGAAAGGCAAGGGACAAGAGCCCAAGCCCGACCTCCGTAAACGCACATGGGATGTCGTCGAGTCGGGGCTTGACACCCTCGACTACGATTGACATTCCACCGCCATCAACGCCCGGGCTGGCTGCCTCTGGTCGGGGATCTGTATGCTCTCGGTGTTCACTCCTAGACCTTCTGGTACCGGAAGGAACCATGCGGTCATTGACCCATGGACCTTTTGGTTACCGGAAAGAACTAGGGGTGTGCCACTCCTAGACCTTCTGGCGGCTGGAAAGAATTAGGGGTCGCCACTTTAGTATACAGACACGACCATGCACTCCCAGCTCTTGCCACCAAGCTGGGGAATTTCCCTACGCTCACGCAACGTGCTGCAGTGCCTTGTGCACTCAGCACCGTTCTAACTGTCGCAGAAATTGGGGGCCTCACATACGCTCTCATATCTGCTTGACGACCTGAACGCCGACGTCGAGGCAAATGCTTCCATCGGTTCGCGGGGCTTGATGTGCGGGAATCCACCAAATCCACTGTCATTGAAGGTATGCTCATGTCTCATTTCTCTCTACTCAAATACACCGTATGCTATGATGAAAACCTTGTATCGTCATCCTTAGTCGGATCCATGGCCAGAGCTGACTACAGCCGGCCAATTCCGGCGCCTGACTCGCACTGAGCTTGGACATGTCGAGCAATAATCTTCTCTCTGAAAGCATTCCATCGCACTTCCTGGTCTTCGCAATTACTCAAGTCGAGGGACATCTACTGACATTGGTCTCCAGGTCGATTCGAACCAGGCATGGAATGTCTTTTGGCAGTATGGAAGAGGCTGAAGATTCTGGATGGTGATATGGGAAGAGGCACAAGATGCCATACAGGACGATGAGAAGAGGCATAAAATGCCCACATTGGATGTTAGAAGTGGTCTTTCCAGTCGTTTGGGAACAGAAAGCTGCACATGGAGGACGTGAAGGATGAAGCGTTGTCCTAGTGGGACGGAGGGAATGGACATCTTGGGATTGTGGAGGATTGAGCGATATGATACCCTTGTTTGCTACTGTCGGTCTGGAACGTTTTGATGATTACGTTTGGTCAAGGGAAAAGGAAATATAGAATGTCTGGAATCACCGACCACGCTTGTCTTTCGAACAGGATTAATACCCTGAATTCGGCAAATTGACAATGAACTCAATGATACATCATAGTACCAACCGTTTGTTTGATGTTCGAGTGAGATGTTTCTCAACCATCTTTGAATCCGAATGAAGAAGAAGGTGGTCTACTCCAAGGTACTGGCTTCCCTCATAGACAGCGATTGTATAACACTCTACTATGCGACGTCTCCTTGAGCGCTTGACCAACTTTTTATGAGCGATCGCGCCGAAGGAACTGAAGCCCAGGTTCGTGATTCAGGTCGAGACCAAGATTCATTCACTCCCGTCAGATTGGACGGCAGGGGCGTGCACGGATCACTTGGTCTTATCGGGCGGCCCGGACGATAAGCGGGAAGGCGCCCTTTCGGTCGACGGCCAATCACGGCTCCAGACCGCTAAGCCTGATTTTAGACATCCCACCTTGATTTACTCCCTGCCCCGTTCTCCCACTACCACCACCATCCGCTCCACGTCCAGCCAGGCTACCTCAGCCACGCCGAGACCCCTCCTCCTCGTCCTGCCTCCGCCGTAAAATCCAACCTCACGCAACATCACCACCCCGTCTCTGTTCAATCTTGCGTACGATCGTAGGCAAAAAGTCGCCCAACATGGCGCGGGTCTACGCAGATGTCAACCAGAATATGCCCCGCAGCTACTGGGACTACGATTCAGTCAATATTAGTAGGTTTTCGACCTCGCGCTTCCTACCCTGCCTCACTCGCCCAGAGATCGACTAGGCGTATGCGACCTGCATTCGCCATTCTTACCATGCGCTGCCCACTCTTGCGGATTCATATTTACTAACCTTTCAATCAACAGGCTGGGGGGTGCTCGAGAACTACGAGGTCGTCAGGAAAATTGGTACGTTTTGTGCTTCCGCCGAGGGTGGCCCCCGCGCCGCGCGCGCATGCGCCATACCGCCGCATACTCTGCGCACGAGTCGAACCGACGAAAGCATATTTGGCTGATACAGGTCTTCAATAACAGGTCGCGGAAAATACTCCGAGGTCTTTGAGGGCATCAATGTCGTTAACTACCAGAAGTGCGTCATCAAGGTCTTGAAGCCTGTTAAGAAGAAGAAGATCAAGCGTGAGATCAAGATCTTGCAAAACCTGGCGGGAGGACCCAATGTCGTGGCTCTTCTGGACGTGGTCAGAGACTCACAAGTAAGCGAATCTTGTCGTAAGAGCAGTCGCCAAGTCAGCGGACTAATGATGCATTCTCGAATAGAGCAAGACGCCATCCCTCATCTTCGAGCATGTCAATAACACCGACTTCCGAAGCCTCTACCCCAAGTTCAACGATCTTGATGTCCGCTACTACATCAATGAGCTACTGAAGGCCCTCGACTTCTGTCACAGCAAGGGCATCATGCACCGCGACGTCAAACCTCACAACGTTATGATCGATCATGAGAACAGAAAGGCACGTACTACGTTTGGTGGAATCCATTAAGCTCTTGAACCTAACACTGGGCCAGTTGCGACTTATTGACTGGGGTTTGGCCGAGTTCTACCACCAGGGAACCGAGTACAACGTGCGCGTGGCTTCCAGATACTTCAAGGGTCCCGAGTTGTTGGTCGACTTCCAGGAGTACGACTACAGCTTGGACATGTGGAGTCTTGGTGCCATGTTTGCCTCCATGATCTTCCGGAAGGAGCCGTTCTTCCATGGCAACTCTAACTCAGACCAACTTGTCAAGATTGCGAAGGTACTCGGTACGGACGACCTCTTCGACTACCTCGACAAGTACGAGATCGAGCTCGATGCGCAGTATGACGACATCCTCGGTCGTTTCCAGAAGAAGCCGTGGCACTCTTTCGTCACCGCGGAAAACCAGCGCTTTGTCAGCAATGAAGCGATCGATTTCCTGGATAAGCTTCTTCGATACGACCACCAGGTACGTTGACACCATGCGAGGCGCGACTAGGCAAGAATGGTAAACTGACATGCAAGCAGGAACGCCTTACTGCCAAGGAGGCTCAGGCACACCCTTACTTCAACCCTGTTCGGGACCCCGAGGTTTTCAAGCAGCATTTGGCCAACCAGACCGCCTCAGGTGTGAGCAGCAACTGAGCCTAAGTCGTCGGCCAGCTTGGTTTCGCAACTACTCACCCCCCCACGCGACAATTTGGATCTTCCCTCTGCACATAGACTGTACGCAAGAGGCATGACACTGCAGGCGGCGCAGGCGGTCACTCCGGGACTGGACCCTGTAACCGCAAGCCGGCCTGGGTTCTAGACTAAAGTCCCTTCCTCCAGGTGTGAACATGGCTCGGATCAACGGGACAAGAAAGCATGAAGCGGACCTTCCACCTCCCTCAGTCTCAATACATGGAATGATTATTCGAAATGACTTTTCAAGATGGGTATCTGTTCACGGGCGACGACACGAAAGGTGGTCTACACATATATTTTAGGCGTACAAACGTCGACCAAAGCGAGGAGCAGCGAGGACGAACGGAGAAATGTGGTGGACGACAGGAAATTTGGCTTGCGTAAGGATCTGGGTTTCACCACACCGGGGGATAAGGCGTTTGCGAGGTCCATGCCCCTTCCGTTCCAACTGCCCCTCGACATCCATGACTTTGCATAACGTGGTTTTCATGATTTTCTTTACAGAAGCTCTCTGGTATTCATCTGATGTAGCGACTAATGAGGAAGCTACTTCGCTTCCATGACCTCACCTCAAGGCCACAAGTGCCCCCTTATCTGCTGTTCCTATCTGCGCGTGCCAAGAGAGTTTCTCCTGTCCTCCCGAGGCAAGACCGCAGTCTTCTATCGAGTATGCTATGATTCCTTAAACTTATAGGCAAGTGAAGCAGAAGTCTCTGTCGCACCGGAACCCATTCTCACCACAGCGCCTCATATTCCCGCCGGGCGTTTGCACGAGTGAGCCCGACGGGCTGCCAAAGTGAACGCGCGTGGGCGTGGCAAACGCCCACGCCGCCTTGCGCTTCTTGCCCCTGGTAGTTTCTGTGCCTGTGGTGGTCGTGCCTGCTGCGGCCATGTTCCCGCTCCCGGGAACGAGCGGGCTTCTCTGCTTCATGGGCGTCGTGATCTTGGTATGCGGCCCGGCGAGGAGGACTGGGGTATAGGATGTGCGTCTGCGTTCAGCCGATGAGCTGCCGCCGCCGCCGAAACTAACGCCGCCGAAGCCCGAAGCCGCTGTGTGGGATTTGAAGAGGTCTAAGGTGAGTTCGTCTTCGTCGTCGGAGAGGAGGGAGATGAAGGATTTTCTGGAGGTCGAGTCTCGCGTGGTTCGGGGTTGGTGGTGTCTCGATGATGAGGATGGTGTGCTGGGGACGGCTTTTTGGTCGGCCGTTTGGTTCTGTGTGTGATGTGGAGGGGAACTCGGGGCGTGTGGGGGTGTTGAAGATTCCGATTTTTCGAGTGTTGATGCTGCAGACTTGCGGCTTCTCGGTTTCGTCTTGCGCTCTGAGCTGGCGGATGCGCGGGGCTTGGCAGCCTTGCTAGATTTGATTGGCGATTTGCTAACGGAGTACTTCTTTAGAGGACTGCTGGATTGGAGACGCATGTGTTTGAAGGGCGATGTGGCGGTTTTGTCAACGACTCCCAAGGACTTGGTCGGCGACGATTGACGGGGTCTTCGAATAGGCGGCCCGAGGAGGCTTCCCCTCGGTTGCGGTGGGAGGATGGGAAGTTCGATTTCCATTGCTTCGGCTTCAGGTTCGGCTTCGGGCGCGCTTGATTCGTCGATCTCGTCGAGGCCGAGGGGGATGGTGAAGGGTTCGATGACTTCTTCATCATCGTCTTGCTGTGTTTGTTCCATTTGTTGGAGTTTCTCGGGCTCACTTTCAGAGCCTTGCTGAGTCCCATCTTGGGTCTCCTCCTGGACTTGCTCATTGGTTCCCTCTTGGATCTCCTCCCGGATCTCTTCCTGGATCTCTTCCTGAAGGTGTTTCTGTAGATCGTCATGGATCTGCTCCTGCGTCTCCTCAGCCTCCTCCAAGATTGTTTCCCCAATCACATCTTGGTTGGCGTGTGTAGGGAGATTCTGCTCTGAGCTCTTGAGCGTCTGCGGCTCCTGCGCCGCCGAGCCCTCATTTTGCGACTGAACCTCCATATCAGCCATATATGTTGTTTCTATGGCGGAATACCCCTCTGTTTGACTGATTTCAGGGAGTGTTTCCGCTGATAAGGTCGTGAAGTTCATATCGGTTCCGATGAGCCCCTCGCCAGCTTCTCCATGTGCCTCGCAAACTTCTGCGAACGCATCGACCTGCTGCTCAGAGATTTCGATATTAATGCCACTAGGTTCTATCGAAGCCATCTTGCTGGTCGTGGAGGGATCGTCATTGGCCTCCACATGAGATGGCCGGTAGTCCTCTGATGTGGATAACCTTTCCGAAGGCTCGGACGTGGGCTCTATTCCAGGATCTGCCACCTCGACTGCACCTGAACTAGTCCCTATCTCATTCTCGTTACGAAGCTTTCTGATGCGAGTTGTGGGAATACCCCCCTCGTCATCAGAGAAGTCGTATGAAGGGTCGATCTTATGCCTGACGAATGTTTCTTTCGGCGGCTCAGTGGGGTTTGCAGTTGGTGCTTTGACTGGCACAGCCGTCTCAACCGGGCCAGCCACAGGATCGCCCACTGTTACAAGAGCTGTCGAAGTGCTTTCAGAGACTGTCAGATTAGCAAGCTGGGGCGTCAGTGCCTCATGTTGGTGTTCCGAACTAAAGATATTCATATCCTCGGGATCTTCGACTAATGTGATCTCCTCTGGGGAGGGAATCTTGGAGATCAACTCGATAACGAATCGCTGCTTTGGCTTGTCCCGCAACTCCTGTTCCGTCACAAAACTAGACGAGCTCTGGTCAACCTCAACTTTGGCTTCAGCTTCAGTTGTTAATTCGAACGGCTGGTCTTGAGCTTGTGTTTCGGTTGGTCGACTCGGCTTGGTAGCTTCTGTCTCTTGAGAAGCTTCTGCTGGTTTGATAACTTTGGCTGGGATGAGTTGTCTCCTCGGTCTTGGGCCTTCTTTCACAGAAGTTTTGTTCTGATTGAGCCAGCCAATCTCCCTAGAGAGGGTTTTTGATACAGCGGGTTTCGGATTTGATGGTCTGGCTTCGGTAGGTGGTTCAAGTTCGTTTCGAATGTTTTTGACAGTGGTGCTTACTGTCTCCTCCAAGGTAGTATCCGTATTGTCCACTGTCTTTTTCGCAGCCCTAGGATCCTTACCTGCAACGGCAACCCCAAGAATATCATCTTCGTTATCGTCGTCTTGGTCGGTGAATGCCTGTAGTAACTTTGTTGACATTGGTTTCGCCATCCTTGGGACCTCGTTCCTCACGCGGATGAGCTGCTTCATATCGATCTGAGCAGGTTCAGGTAATGCTTTCTCCTCATCGGTATCGCGCCGTGAAGACCACACAGACTTGAATCCTCGACTGGTGGGGAAGCGGTATCTGGCACCATAAAGTTTCGTCATCAAGTCGTCGCCAAGTTTGGGCTTGCTGATCTCGGGAACCCTCCAAGTCGGATCGACAGGTTCTGGTTCATGTCCCCAGACATTTGAGGACGGATTCGAGGTGCTAGGCCCTGGCTGGCGCGGTTGAGCAAGGCTGGACAGCCGTTGATCGGATCCTGGTATTGATACCCCTGGAGAGACATCTGGCCGGTTTGGATGCCGCTGTAGCTCACCCTTTTGCTTGATTATGAGGGCTCCTGAGTGAGATGCTTCATTTTTCTTGCCGTGTAAGATTCGTTCTTCATCGCTTTCGTTGTCTGACACATCTGGGCTCCCATCCTCGCCCCCATCATCTTCGCCTGAGCCGCCATCCTCCTCATCGTCATCGGATGCAAATGCTTCCTCCAAGAGTACGCCCTCATCCTCGTCTTCATAATCATCATCCCCTGGGATTCCGGTGTCTCTCTCATATCTCATGCCAGCCAAGTGGCCATTATTCGTAATGATCTTGCCGGTCCTTAGGTCGATTTCATCACCGATACCTGTGAAGTCCTTTTCGTACTTTTGGAAGATGTGCTCAAAAGTCGATTTCAATTTGAAGGCGGCAAAGGCACGGGACTGCTCGAAGCGAAAGCCGGGATCCCGCATCTGAGACACTTCTTCGGGCTCATAGTTGAGTTCATCATCTTCGTCTTCTTTTGCCTTTTGATCGAGCCTTGGCTTCTTTGTGGGCGGTTCCATATTGCCGGTAAGAAGCCTTAGACCCCTGAAATCATGCCGCTTGGAGAAGGCGGTGGCTTGAACACCAATGATTATGGATAACGAACAGTGATGGCGAGGTCTGAATGAGCGTTGTCAGGGCACTGGATGAACTTGACATGGAAAGACGCGCTTCGACGCGATGCACGGACGCATCAAATTGATCGCGTAAAGTGGAAAGCACGGACCACGTGGGGTGCTGCCGTTGGCAGAGGCACCCGACGGCGTAGACCACTGCACTGAGTGTACGACGAATGATCCGTTCTACCACGAGGCAAGCTTCCCCAGCTATTCAGCTCGAACAAGTCATAGGAAACTTTGCCCTCATGTATAATCATAGCTTCTGGAACATGGATTCATGAATAAATGCTTTTCGTATTGGCTAAACCATGAAATTTGGGCGCAAACATCAAGTCCAGAAGTTCAGGTTCACGGCTGCCTAAGCGGACTACCTAAACTGTGCCACAGCCTCAGTTGTCCTTGCAGTGTCCAGAATGTCACCGGCTCATCACGGCACTTGATCGAAACAAGTAGGAGCATAACGGAGAGTTCAGTTTGAATCGTTCTCAGCTAAAAGAGAGCAGAAACTTGAATGGAAGCAAAGTCTCATCGAATTGTCAGCAAAGGTGGTCACACCCTGGGGGTGAACTTAGCGCCTGCAGGACATCCGCAGGTACCTCCACTGCGCTTTGGGTGACATCACAAGACCTCCCTCTTCAACCTTCAACCCTTCATTTCAGAGCTTGCAACATGCGCGACACAGCAAAATGATTTGCCAAAAGTGTCGCACGCCGCTCAAACTAGACAGTTCCCTTGAGGAATTGAATCCCGCGGCGTACGATCTTCTCGTCGGTCAGCACAAGTCTCCCCCCGTCCGAAACGGTGCGCGCAAGGTAGCTAACCGAATCAGCCTCTTCCTCACAACAGTCACCCAAGAAGACGTCTTCATCACGGCCATATCACCCACAAGATGGCCAAAGAAAGGTGCTCTATGACAAGGTCTCGCAAAATGCAGCCTCTGCGACGTTCAAGCGCCATGGCAGCGGGCCATCGAATTTGGCGCAACGAGATTCAACCATGTCCTTCATCTACCTCACCGAATCACAAGTCGCCCAGCCAGTGCTCTCCCGACCCGACCCACTGCCATCGAATACGAAATCAAACAGGGGGAATAAGGGCGGACAGAAGTCTATTGAGGAACAGCGTGGCGGTAGCAAGGCGCACGAGATAGAGCGCATCAATAAGCTTTTCGAGATTCTCTCCGCGCGATCCGACATCGACCATCCCATCTGCGTTGAGTGTACCGATATGCTCGTAGAAGGTCTTCAGAAAAAGCTTGAGGCCGCAGCGAGGGAGCGCGATGCCTACGTCGGCTTCTTGAAACAAGTGCAGAGCGACCAGCCGAACGAGGAGGATATTAAAGCACAAGAGGAAGCTCTGAAGAAGGCAAAGCAGGCCGAGACAGACGCCATGGCTGAGTTGCTACGCTTGGAGCAAGAAAAGTCATCTGTGGACGCGGAAATCATTGCTTTAGAGGAGGAGTCACAACAGCTTGACCATGAGGAAGAGCAGTTCTGGCGCGAGCGTAACGCCTTCGCCACCAAGCTTGCCGACTTCCAAAACGAGCGCGACAGCACAAATTCCAGGTTCGACAACGATGCTCAGCTTTTGGAGAAGCTGCAACGCTCAAACGTGTACAACGACACGTTCTGCATCAGCCACGATGGCACGTTTGCTACTATCAACGGGCTACGTCTTGGCCGACTGTCGAACAAGCCGGTTGATTGGCCTGAGATCAATGCAGCATGGGGCCACGCCCTTCTTCTGCTAGTTACAGTTGCCGACAAGCTAGGCTATAAATTCGATGGGTTTGAGCCGCAGCCCATGGGAAGCACTTCAAAAATCATTCGGTTCGAGCTCCCGTCGCCAACGGCCAGTCGCTTAGGATCACATCGGAATGCGCCACCGCCAGCTCCGAAGAAGCATGTCTTGGAGCTTTTCTCTAATGGAGATCTACCCCTGGGATTGACCTTCATGCACCGCAAATTCGATAATGCGATGGTTGCATTCCTTGAGCTCGTGCGGCAGCTTGGCGCTTTCGTGCATCGACAGACGGCAGCCGACGGCCACCCACTTAGCCTTCCCTATAAGATTGAGGGCGACAAGATCATGGATGTGAGCATCAAGCTCGGCATTGCTCAAGACGATGGGTGGACGAAGGCGTGTAAGCTCACACTGACGTGCTGCAAATTTCTGCTTGCACACGCTAGTAATGTGAACACGAGCGCGAGGGCTGCGAATAATCAATAATCACTGCACAAATTCGATGCATATTAAATGGGACTTGGACCATGGAGTTGCGGGGCTTTCTTAACAGGTATAGATCAAGCGTATCATTTGGAGTTCACGGTGTATTACTATGAACCATAGGTCACAAGAAGCAGTGCATTCTCTTATTATTGCTTCGTATTGGAGAACTGCATCCAGACACTTGGTGATGGTCTCATCATTAGTATAGGGAGACCCTTTCACCGTCGTCGAAATCTCCAACGTGTAGGCTCGAGTGTGGCCTAGCCTAGCACGTAGCACTGGTAATTCATAAACTATCTTACAATGGTGCCACGATGAGACTTGACGTGCAACTTTGGGAAGACGAGTTGATGTCCGGGACGGAATTGCGAATATCCCCACGTCGCAATCTGACTGCATGCAGCTGGCGAAGTCAAGTCAGCCTTGGTTGACGCTTGTTGGCGGCAGTCCGCGGCCATTCAGGCAGCAAGGCGCCCTTACGAAACATAAGCTGCTCGGCTGCCTCATTTGTCTTACACCACGGAACGCACCCATGCAAGCCTAATGCACTGTTCTTTTCAAGAAAACCAATTAGTCATTTCGCGCCCATGTTACTTGCCTAGATGCGGGGTGAATGCTCGTCTTATCTGCTGCACCATGACCTGGCAGAGAAGACAGTGTTCCATTGGCTGCTCAGCCTGCCTGCTGCCGCCTGCCGATGAATCCGAGAGCCGCGAAGAGCCATGAGCGTTAAAAAGGATCGTTTCGTCCACACGGGCTTTGCTCCTGTTTTCTCTGGCGTCATCCAGCCTATCTTTCTTTTCTCTTATCCTACCTTTTGCCGTGTAAGATCAAGACTCTCGCCTGACGTAGATTGCCTATCATGGGTGGCCAAGCAGACAACGTAAGATTGCCGATGGACCTCGCTTTCTGGAGATTTTGTGAAGACTTGCTAACAAACTTTAGACCATTGACGATGATGCCGGCTCGACCGTAAGTTTCGAGGAAGTTGACTACAGGCGCCCCGACAAGCAAAGCCAGGCTCTGGTAGCCAGAGGAAGCTTGGAAAGGGAGACGCCGTCTGACATTCTATACGTTCTGCAATACTTGGGCATCGGTGGTAAAGTCATCGACAGTAAGTCAACAACACTGATCCCCCTTTATCACTACGCTCTGTTAACATGACCAGGTCGCGAGAGCAGTAATCCATTCAAGGAGATCCCCGACTACGGGAAGAAGGACGGCGAGACCACTCAGCGGACTGTCAATTCCGTGCTCGAGATCGTGACAAAGGTCAACACCAGTGCCAAGATCAGACGTGTGCGTCGTCGTCGGTCTCCGCACATCACCTATCCCGACGATGATTACACATCGGCGTCTTCGGACAGCGAGAATGATGAGCGCGCGAAGGCCGGGAAGATTGAACGCACACAGATGATCATCCACTCGCCGCATCTCATCAATGCATTGAGGGCGGTTGTAGCATACTACCCCAACGTCAATCTTCTAGGAGACACGGTGACTGTTGATGCTCCTTACCGCGTTATTGTGCACCACCTCGACGCTCTTAGACAGTACAGATTCCACCAGCCTGCCAGCCACTCCACCGAGTACGCTCGTCTGACGGCGAACCACATTGATGTTCTTTTGGCTTTCATCGATCAGGCTGTCGGGGAGTCTATCCGGAATGAACAAGAACGACATCGTCGCAACGTCCCAGTTGCGACCTTCCAGAACTATTGGATGGCTCTGAAGCCAGGTGAGGTCATCTACGTCAACCACGACGACCTCTGGGAGCCTCACGTCATCAGCAGCACTTACCAGGATGTCACTTTGAGTGGACGCAACCGCCACTTGCAGGTAGTTGCCTGGGTTCTCGAGATGGGACACAATCGGATGAATCGAAAGATGTCCCAGTTCACTATTCCTTCGTGGACCGGCGAGCAGATCATACCTTCTCTCAAGATCATTCCAGCTCGCTTCTTCCAGGATGACCCGCAAGCAATGCTCCAGAAGCAGTTGAGACTTGGAAAGCTGTACTGGGAGCTTCTTCAACGCCCAACCTATATGGAGTACGACGGAATGCTTGTGCAGGCTCAACCTGGATCTCACTCGGGCCCAATCTTCAGCCGTGGCCCGTCGGGCTATGTGAGTCTTCCTGCCTGATTCCTTTGATGAATGTCAGCAACTAATCTTCCAAAAGATGACTGGCCGAGTGATTTGCGATGCTGAGGGCTTCGGTCGTTTCAACTTCCGCGCACCAGAGAACCGGAACGGTCCTCCGGGCCCGCCACGTCAAGTAGTGCCCCCAGGCATGATGCCTGTACAACATCATGGACCACCGCCTGCACAAGACCATCTTCCACATTTCCTCCCGCGCTGCGGCTGCCAGGAATGCACGAAGGAGACCGATCGCACCGACTTGTCACCGTTCGCGGGCTTTGACGACGTAAAACCCCTGACATCGCCAGCCCCTACCTCCGACATCTTCTACATTGCCTGCACCAACATCATTCCGGCCTTCCTTCTCGGCGATCGCCGTTGGGGCCACTTGAACCTAGACCACGTGAAGCCCGTAATCACAGACCGTGAGGCATTCAAGTATCTCGTCCTAGACGACGAGATCAAGATGACAGTCAAGGCCCTCATTGGCAAGTTTGCGGCAGCCGAACCCGGAAAAGTCTCACCGTGGGCCAACGACTTCATCAAGAACAAGGGCGAAGGCCGCATCTTTCTCCTCCACGGCGCCCCGGGCGTCGGCAAAACCTGCACCGCCGAGTGCGTCGCAGAACTGACCAACCGGCCGCTCATCTCCCTCACCTCGGGCGACCTCAGCGTCAATTCACACAGCGTGGAGCACAACCTCTCCTACTTCCTCGAGCTGGGCCAGCGCTTCGGCGCCCTGGTTCTCCTCGACGAGGCGGACGTCTACCTCGAGCGCCGCCGCGCAAAGGACATTGCCCGCAATGGGCTCGTCTCGGTGTTCCTCCGTGCGCTCGAGTACTACCGTGGCGTGCTTTTCCTGACTACCAACCGCGTCCAGGCGTTCGACGCGGCTTTTACCTCGCGCATTCACGTCGCGCTGCACTACAAGAACCTGACGGACGTTGACCGCGAACGCATTTGGGCCAACAACTTTGAGCGCCTAGACAGGGACTCGCACGGCCGCGTGAGGGTTGCTATTGCTACGCGGGAGTACGCCTACGACTCGCGCGATGTGCGCGCTTTGCGGTGGAACGGTCGTGAGATCCGCAACGCGCTGCAGACTGCGCTTGCGCTTGCCGAGAGCGATGCTGCGGAGGAGGGCACTGACCGCATCTGCGTTACGGACAAGCACCTGCGGGCTGTAGTTAAGATGAGCCGCGGCTTCAGGGACTACCTTCGTAGCGGGAGCGTCTATGACGGGGAGAGCGAGGTCGGCGAGAGTGAGGGGGAGGAAGGGGATATCTATTCTGACTGAGCTTCCGTGTTTGGGTACTTCTTGACGAGACTGAGCTTTGAATTATTTGTTTTGGGTGGCTTTTTGCCTTGCAAGCTGGTCATTCACGAGGAGTATGATAAGATTGACAACATGAACGCTGGATGCTGGATAGGTAGAATAATTTGATGAGTGTACCGAGAAATTAACAAAGACGTCCCGATGCCATTTAGCTTTAAAGCCTCTCATCCCTCTCACTCAACTTCCGAATGAACACCCGCAAGCACTCATCTTCTTAAACCACGAACTTGATGCACTCAAGCATCTCAATTCAACACAGGCCTCCACCCCTTCCTCCTCACAAACCCCTCAACACCCCCATCCCTCAAAACCTCATCCCCCGTCCGTCCCGTCACAACGCTCCTCTCAACGTCGGGACCTCGAACGTAAAACGGAAACCTCAGCCTCCCGCTCTCGTCAACCTCATCTTTCTTTCTACTGCCACCTTCTTCGTGCCCTCGACCGTTAACACCACCACTACCACCATCACCATCCCTCAGAACCCAAACCCTCTTTCCCCCAACCCTCCTCCTCTCAAACCCACACGCCTCCCGATCGAGCGAAAGGTACCACCGCCGCTGGTACACGCTCCCGACGCTATTCTCCGCGCCCCGATACGCGTTCGTCCTCCTCACAAACTCGTCCTCCACCTCCCGAATCTCCCTCTCCACCGCGGACAACTTCTCTTCCTCCCCCTCGCCGTCACCACCACTATCACCACTGTCACGGCCACCACCAAGCGGATCAGGAACAACGTCTCCGTCCCCCTCGTCACCAGACTCCCCGTCAGAACTAGTCTCGACAACCTCCTTCTTCATCTGCTTCCCACCACCACCACCACCACCACCACCACCACCACCACCACCATGCCTCCTCTTCCTCACAGGCCTCCCCAGCGTCCTCGCACTCTTCCTCCGCCCCTCCGCGTCCTCCCCCTTGGTCAACCTCAGATTCAACACGTACCTCTCAGGAAGCCGACTCCCATGCAACCTCACCCGAATCTTCCTCTCCCCAAACGCCCTCGCCAATTTTTCCTGCTCCGTCATCCCCCCGTCCCCATCCCCATCATAGTCCTCCCCATCTTCACCATCATCCCTCCCCGAATCAGGATCAACCTCCGGCTCTCCCCTCCCTCCCCTTTCCCCCCTCCCCAAAACCTCAAACCACCCACAATCCCAAATCACCAAACTCCCCGTGCACCGACTCCCAACCTCAACCACATGATTCCAAAGACAATGCACCCTCGTCTCCGTCGCATTCCGATTCAATCTTTTGGAGTTGGCATCCCCGGGTAACCCGTACATCACCGCCCAGCTCACGCTGCTCGTCGCGTTCACCTGCAGCCGGAGGTCGTAGTGCACGCCCGCGATCGGGTGGTCGTGCTGGTGCACCACAAAGTGCGCGCCCCGCTTCGACCCGACGTGCGAGAGGAAGAGCGATCGCAGGCCGCCGCCGCCGCCGCCGACGTTGGCGGAGAGGTGCGGCGTATGGGCAGGGTAAGGGTTGAGGGTATGTTGCGCCAGGTGGGTGAAGAAGTGCGCCGCCGGGTCTGGTTGCGTCACGGCGCCGGATTCTAACGCTGCTGAGAGGTTTGTAGTAGTCTCGGGCTTGATCTTGGGCTCAGTTTCGGGATTATGATCGGGCTCGCGGGGTGGTGAGTCCGGTATCACAACCGCATCTTGACCCGCCCCGTCGTCGGCTGTAGTATTCCGTCTCTCCAACTCCTCCTCTTCTCTACTCTCCTGTCCTTCTCCGACATCATCAGTCTTTGACCCCGGCACATCAAGCGACCATTCTAAATTTCGCTTCTTGATAAATGGGTTCTCAATGAAACTCAGATTCGGCGGCCGTTTTGATGCCATAGCCCTGCCTGCCCGGCGAGGATGACGCGGGCTATTGAGTAGCTCGGCACTCACCACAGCCGGGGAAAAAAAATACGGAATGAAAATCTTTTTAAGTGCGTCAATTGGTGATTAAAGGCTCTTGGGAAAATTTGATCAAAATTGACAGCAGAACAACAACTTAAAGAGGCTTATAAGATGGCTTACATGGTACCGGTAAAGGCGACAAGTACCACCAAAAGTTGGCATGTCGTTGCACGGACCCCACTTGCTTCCGTCAGCACCCATCATGACGGGCCCAGCCTGGCCCGGCCTCAGATCTACCACCATCTAGTAATCCTGTAACAAAATCACAACACGAAAACCATATGAATGGGGCACCTCATTCAAATGACTATAGAGATATCGCTACATAGCCCTTGTTATACCCTTACAACGCCTTGCCATGCAAACAAATTCGTTGGCGAGTGCGATCTTCGCCCGAGTTTCCGTTACCTCTAGCCCAACCTTTCAAGGCTTCCACCGCCCATCAGAGCTCGCACTATTTGCCTCATTCCCGTGTGTTTCAACTAAGCAACGCTTTTCCCCATGTTTCATTGTACAAGACAAGATTCGAACACTCATACATAGGCCGGTATCCTCTACGGCTTCTGCTCCACCAGGGTAGGCGCAATCCGTCTCTTCTTGCGTTCGCTGCCCTCTTCCTTCTCTCCCTCACTTGCCTCGCGTTTGGACCCGCTTGCTGCTGTACCGGCAGTTGATGCAGCCGGGGTCGGGTTTGTGGCAGCATTGGTCCTCGGCGTCTCTGGCGGCGTGGTAATGGGGACACCTGTGACCTTGGTGGAGTTGGCGACAGCAATGCCAGGCACGCTGCCCACAATCAATGAGGGATTCGTCACCACATTTGATGACTGAGTCGCCACAGACGAAGTAGAATTTGATCGAGCGGGCGACTGAGGTCGCTGGCTGACAAACCCAGCAGGTGGTGGCGATGGGGCGGTAAAAGAGCTCGCCGAATTTCGGTGATGGTGACCCGAGCCATTCGGAAATGGTGACGGAGGGGCGAATGCTGAGCTTGGAGCAGGGACCGGAGTACTTTGATTAGACGACGTCGCTCCTGTGCTTCCAGCGGTTGGATTCTTGGCAGTAGGTAGATCTCCTTGATAGATCTGGCCCAGCTCACCAGGTGAGAAAGACAAGGTCGAACAGAATCCATCAGATGATGAGACCAAAAGAGTGAGGCCGTCGCTTGACCTTTGCATATTGTTAGCTTTGTCTCAATTCTGGGTGCAGCAAAGAATACTTACCAGGCCAGATCAGTAAATGTCGCACAGTGAAGATTGCTAACTATGCAGATTGGTGTCTGCTGCTGAGAATCGTAAAGAAGAACAGCGTCTTGAGTTGCAACAGCGTACATCATCCTGTAAGGCAGGGCAAAGGCCGCCTTGGGGCCAGGGGAAGAGGCGCTAGATTCGGCCTTGCTCGGTGTAGAACCGGACTCGGGGACCGAGGTTGGCGGCGGAGGCGGGTCCATGACCGAAGTAGATGTCACTGGCTTCGAGACTGGTTCAGGTAGTGCCGGGATGGGATCTTCAGAGGATGACGTATCGATGGTGATATGCTTGGTGACGAGAGGCGATGTCCGCAACGAGTAAAAGACGGGTGAGCACTTCACCACAACAGATGGCTTTTTGTGACCAGGCAAGTGCGCAATCGGCGCCTTGTTGATGCCACCTCTCGTGTAAATGTAGACGGTGTTGGTGACCTCAAATGTGGGCTTCGTATTTCCCTCTGAGCTGTGTTGAGTTTGGTACTGGCCAGCTGGAGTAAGCAGAAGACTGCCATCTGGGGTGAAGGTCAAGCGACGGAAAAAGGATGAGAGTGTCTCGTTGGCATAGAGTGTCGAGTTCTTCATACCAAGGCCACCGGAAGGGTGAGGCTTTGGCGAAGGCTCCATGGGCATTACAGCTGGGAGCGGCATTGACGGAGCCGGAGAAGGCGACCGTCTAGACGAGAATGACGACCTCCTGCTATGGCTAATCACACTGGGCGGGTTCATCGGCAATGCGATTGAGGTGGGAGTTCCGGGGGCGGAGGGGACTGGGGATCCAATGGCCTGTTCGACAGTAAGATGGGTCCTCATGCCAAAGTCGGGAGGTGCAGGGCTGCTGGAGGATATGCGGCGTGGCGGCAAGTCACTCTTGTTATGGCTTGCAATCTTTGAGGGCTTGTCGTCATGGTTGCCGCTCAGTGTATGTTGTCCATCCTTTGTTTTCAACGAATAGATATGGACGGATCGGTCGGAGGACTGGGTTGCGATGTACTCGTTCAAAGGATCCCATGCGACACCTTGAACGTAATGGCTATGCTCGGCAATCTGGCGCACAAGAGTACCTGTCCTTGTTAGATACAAGCGTGGAGTACGCCATCACCAGCGGAGAAACGTACCAGAGCTGGCATTGTAGATTCGAGCAATGTTGTCCATGCTTCCGATGATGAAGTAGGAGCTATCTGGAGACCAGGCAAGGTCGTAAATCTCGGATCCGCTAGATCGACACATGTGCTTGGTTCTCCACGTCTCCTTATCCTCGAGGCCCTCGTTGCCAAAAGCAGGGCCGCTGTGTTCGGACATGACCCATATGATGACATTGCCGTCGTCGCCGGCGGAAGCAAGGATCTCACCTGCGCAAGGAGGAAAGCAAAAATTAGCGAAATGCAGCATGAGGCGTCTGGAATTGGCCTTTTACCTTTGGGGGCCCATCGAACGACATTCACAGCCTGTGTGTGCTTGCTCAAGGTTGACAAGTAGTCGACCTTTCGATCTTCTCCATCGCTGTCTACCTTCCAGAGCTGATGTTCGTGTCAGCATCGCAGCGCAGGGTCACGCGTGGGACCAGGTGACATGCTCGCCAGTTCAGGCGTCTGACGTACTCTCACGTTATTGTCTCCTCCAGCCGTAGCTAGTCGACCCTTGCCGTTGGGCTCAAAATGGGCCGAGTAGACTGGGGCATTCTGGTCATGCCAATTGATGATAAGCGGCGTGCTCTTCATCGTGACTGAGTGTGTATACGGCCGTCTCGAGACATGTGCGGGATCGTGGGCGGTCGTGGACGGGTTTGGTTTGGTGATGATGGCGCTCGTACGATGGGAAGTTTGGCGGATGGAATACGGGCCGTGCTGGATGTTGTCGAGGAGAGCTTATCGGGGAAGTAAAAATCCGATGGTCGATTCGAGTCGGGAAGCTTCGTGCGGCGCTCGCGGTGGGATGAGGTTGGATGAGGGGCGGGTAGGGTAGGCTGAGGAGGTCGAGCTTCTCCTTAGCTCGGTAACAGCAGGTCGAGAGATTGGTCGATGGGCAACAGCTCCTTTGCAGCAGCGTTGATTCGCAGCTGCTTAGCGGGAAACCTCAATGGACGGATTGAATTTGGGGGGGGAGGGGTTGGATTGGCAGGACGTTTAGTATCGCGTGGAACGACACACACGAGGTCCTGTTTTTGGAACTGTATGAATAATGAGGGAGGATAAAGAAGAAAAAAGCGAAAATGGGAAATCAATTAACCTTGGCAGGGAATTGTCACGAGGGCGCAAGAATGGATGAAATGTCGTTCCCGAGCAGGGTAGAGTGGAGTTTGGTGTGGTTTGGTTCGGCGTGCAGGAGCTCAGACGGCTCCAACGCACGCACTGTTGCAGGGACAGGAAGGAGCTGGACTTCCCAGGGCACCCATTGATTGTTACCGTACCTTAGGTTCCATGGTACCAGTCGCGGGTTTGCCCGCCTGACTACCAGGCTGGTGTTTTCCACCGCAAACCCTCCCAAAGTTTGACGGTACCTTGGGTGGTGTGGTAGGCTCTCCAGCCGCTACAGCAACCAGACGTGCAGAGCCTGTCGCAACTGCAGCGCCCAGCATCGCCATCATTATAGCTTACCCTTCGTCGGAGTGCTCTGCATCTCGAGAAAATCGGGGAGAGCAGCCGCGAGCAGGGAAACGGCAGGGAAGTTGCTCGCCATAAGGCGCCCGGGTCGTGTGTTTGACCAATCAGACAGCTCCGTCGGAGAAAGCCTTTGAGAGAGCAACCCACTGTTTGGCTCATCCAGCCTCATCTGATTGGCTACAGCCGTTTGCTACCATGCTTTCGACTGGGTCCTGTCCTTGGAGTTTGAACAGACCGTGAATCTTTTTTTTTTTTTTTTCCCTGCTTTGGAATTTGAGTGCAAAGGATGCTTTACGAGCAGACATGAGTCCCAAATTAGGCACAATTAAATCAGCCTGCCACCTCAGCCTTTCAATTTCCATTACCACCGGGGAACAGCCGTATCTCATCACTTGAATCGTCACTCAGGGCGCAACCTCAGCTTATCGCATACGTTTCTACTCATTCTGATTGGCTGGAGTCGTATGCACTGCAAGGCGTTGGGATGGGAGGATCGACGCACTCGTGGGCGGGTTTGAGGCAACCAGCGCAACACCTCGAAACGAAGGGACTTTTCGCCGAGATTCCAAAGAGGGTTCTCTGATTCAAGTTTATTTGGGGGTCCATTGGCACTTTCCCCTGATGATTGTGCCAGTTCCCTCTGGTCTCAACTCTGCTGCCGCTACCAATCTCACTCTTTCAACTGCCTCACCATCAATACCCAAGGTAGGTACCTTAGTTGCCGATGTGTTGAGTTTCCAATCCTCGAACGAGCCATGGCTAGAGCAAGTCGGTATGCCTTGCTCGACGATTGCCATTATTCCAAAGAGAGATTGAATCTCATCGAACAATAGAAAGACATTACATTTCCAATATTGGTAACTTGATAACCGGCTCTACCTGCTCGGTCTCCCGTCGATTTCTGCGCCAGTGCACACAGGGCTGAGGCGCCCCCGCCAATGAATGCACGTCTGATGCAAATTGAGGCGCTCAATGGGAATTTCCACTTTGCTCTCCATCTTCGAACCCATGTGCCATGGAACTCTCGAGCACATCGCTTGGGGCCCCTTCCTTTCTGCTTCGTTAGCCTTGCGAAGAAGGGCCTCACTTCTAAAAGCAAACGTTTTATCATTTCTCCAATCACCACTATTGGTATGCTGATGGCCTGCACTTGGCATCGCTTTTGACCATAGATGCATTTGACCGACGCCTCCAACTCGTTGTGAACTCCTTCCTCGCTTTACCCCCAAATTCAAGAAAGACTACTGGTACTCTGTAGTCTGCAAGGTGCAGCCCCGACGGCCCGGTCCACAACATAGGCTACCATACCCGATTTTCAGCCCTGTTTCATTGGCGTCGGTTGCAACGGTAAGAAAAACGCTTCACAGTGTCGCAGCCAGAAGGGAAGTTTGGCAGATTAGCAACGGCTTGCAAATTTCGGTCGGTTTCAACTGTTGGGCACCTCATAAGAAGGTAGCACCCAATGTCCAGTCATCCATCTGAGGCAAAATCTCAGCACAGTCATACCTGCTATCGTCGGGAGAGCGTTCATCCGTTTGAGTCAAATCATGACGGACAACTGGTTCTCTCTTTGCCTCCCAATGTGACCACTTTAGTACCACTTCTTTACTCCGTACACCACCAAACGCGGGCAGTTACCATTAATTAACAGCAAGAACCATCAAATCTGCATCAACACCAACCCGCCGCCTGATATCGCCAAGAAAATCTGCAACCGCGTCGGCGGTGAGCAATAGGTAACGCAAGCACCGCAGGCTTCAAAGTCGCCGGGCTCATCCAATCGCAGACTTTTACTTGATGAACAGGAGCCTCCAAATAGAAGCGTGGCTGTTACACCGCGCCGGCATTCGCCCGCATGCATACAGTTGATGTTGGATATTTTCTCTTTGGGATAAGCCACACGTCGCCTTATTTTCCTTTGGCCGACAAGACTCCCTCACCCGACGATGGGTGAGTCGTGACACACACGCACCACCACCAAGAAAATTAATAAAAAAAATTGGCCCGGTCTTATGTCACACCATAACATTTCCGTTTCGAAACGTCAAATCGACCCGGTGTTTGATGTTGCGCATCTCACGTCTCTCTCACAGTTGTACGGCCCGCTCACACCAAGCCCACATGCCGAACGGTGTCGTAGGCGCATCGTCATGAGTCGGATCGGATTTACACCCAATGTTCATATCTGATTGAGAAATAGAAGATGCAATGAGCATGGCGAGTTAGATCCGCGGCGACGGTCGATGTGTCGTCGGCTGCTTGATCCAACACAGGCAAAAGCCCCGGTGCGGGGAGGGGGGAATGGCATGGCAGCCTTGGCAAGGCAGCAAAGTCCCCGAGTAGCCGCGTCTTCTTCCAACGACACTCCATCACCTCGGGCAAAGGTAAGGTGAGGGAAAGAACCGCCAGAAGTTCTGGGCCTGGGACCAATTGAGTTGGCAAGGTCCTGATTGACACCTGCTGATTAAAAAAAAAAAAAGTGCTCACGGGATCGAAAAAAGATGAGAGATTGGCATGTGGCGTTGTATTCTGAGGCACAGTACTTTGTTTCTCATCTGTTTTTTTGTCGCAACCCTTGATGCAGTCAGCACCTTGCGGTGCCATATGGAAAGCTTGCGGCGAGAGAATACATAAGGACAAGGAAGTAATGTGATAAGAATGCATGTAAGGTATGATGTAGGTAGGAGGGCGGTAAGGGAAGCCGAGCGCAGGTAAGCGAGATGGTGTGTCAGCGGCTGCCTGGACTTTGAGACCTCCTTATTGACTCTGAAGGCAGGTTCGAGGGTTAGGTGAGTACGTTCGTCAGCAGAGGAAGGAAGAACGAAACCCACGAACAACAACCCATACCTTACCTTCCGATTATGCGCCATTGTTTCAATCTTCCTGCCAACCTATACAGGCAACGAACATCGATAGTCTCTATCCGTCTATAGACACATGGGAGGACTCCCTTAGTTCCTGCAGCCGTCGGGTAGCCGTTCAGACCGACACCTATGAATCTCCCCTGCACGCAGCTAAAGACCAAACCCAATCTCTCAGGACTCGGAAGTGACGACAAATCTCTGAACGTGGAGTTGCGAGTTGCAAGTTGCAAACACGCTAGTGGGACGGGCCCGTGATAGAACAGAAGCAGAGGGCAGGAGCAGTCAGCATTTAGCGGACGGCAGGAATGGAAGCGGGAAGCGGGAAAAACGGTTCCCATCACACGACTGCCCGATGATATGATGGGACTCGACCGAGACTGTGAGGTGGAGAATCCCAATTGGCAATTGGCAACTGGCAAAAACCTTTTGGGCCCGGCCTGGCTGGCGGGCTGGCTGGCTGGCGGTGGACCCACATCCCATGATTTGCTAGTCTGACCGCCCTTCCCAAAAATCCCGCCCCCCAGTTCAAAACCTCCCATCATCCATGACCGAAATCCTGCGGCGCAGTCCCGCCCATGCAAATTAGAGCCTCCCAGACTCCCACCACCTGGCACCCGCGCGACCCCTCTCTCCAAACTCTCCTTCCTAATCCAGCACTATGACTGGACTCTGTGAGTCTTTTGAGATTACGGATACCAACTCTCGGATTCAGCTTTGAGTCTCGACGAGAGAAACCGGCTGGCCGGCAGGCAAGGTAGCTGGCGGGGTTGCAGGCACAGCCTCTTTGATTCGGAAATCGAGATCAATGATGGATGACGAATCAGACGAGTTTGGCCTCGTTCCCGACCGGTTGGGGCAGGGCATAAACACCACGTTGTACGAATAACAACAGTATGCCCCATACATGCTATGCGCCCAGGCAATTGGGAGGAGAAACAGATAATGGCCAACGAATTCGACGCTCTCCCTCTCTCTCGATTGATGTCAGAATACGGGGTTCTTGCCAGGATAGCAACCCGGCGAGGCGGAAGCGGATGGGGGTCTTCTACCTTACGCAGAAAGTTGGCTCGCCGAGGAAGAGAGCAGCTGCAACTTTTTTTTTGGCAGGCATGCGCATCAGGCCATGTTAGTGCAGGATGACTGCATTGGAGCTAATGCACTAACAAGGAACGTCAACCGCGAGGCTCACCCCTTTCTGTTTAGATTGGTACGAGTATCCCGCCCTTCTTCTCTTCTGTTTCTTTACTTGTATTG